AATTTTCATTTTCATTTCAAAAAATGGCTAAAATGTTTGCACCACTTTAAACAAACTATAAGGTTTATGCTAAGCTGAAAGGGAATCTTCTATTTCTCTGTATGACGTCTTTGCTTACAGTGCATTGTGTTTGCATAGAATTTGAAGGCAGCTGCAGGGCCATTTACACTGAAACTTTATGTAGCATAGTGAAGACAAAGAGATCAACAAAAAGCTCCCTTATTCTTTAGAAAAGTGAGCTCATATTAATAGTAAATAAAATGTTCCCAAATATAAATTGCAGTGGACTTTATAAAGTATGTATGCATGTGCATCTGTGTCTACAGACAAAGTTTACAGGACAGACCTCCTACTCACCCAGTGGACAGTCAGGTACCAACTAATATACCAGTGCTGCCATCTACTGGACAATCCATGCATTGTTTTTACGTTGCAAATACAATGTACCCCTTTGTGGTTTACAGTAACTAATGTCTCATTGGTTGTTTAAATGAGTCCCCACTGAGGATCTGGTGCAATAGGCTCTTTTCATAGCAAACATTCTGACTTGTTAAGCAGGAAAAACACAGGGCCAACTAATTAAATTAATTATGGCTTTGGTACATTTAGGTGTGCCAGGAGAGTCCTGGCGCTAACAGGATGTAGCCATCGTGAACATTAATGGTTACATCTATGCTTTTCCTGCTGCTACATGTCGAAACAAACTGTGAAATGGATCACAAGTGGTGTGTTGATCATTTATAAGAATTGGGTTGAAACAGTTTGCATACTGTAATCATGTGTATTACCTAAACAGCTGCATAGAAAGATGACAGTCAGTGGTATTGATTATATAAAGCAGATATGGTGACCTTTATTTGCACATTTTTACTGACGGGTTCAAGAAAAAAAACAAGAAAGTTGTAACACAGTTCCACTCAACAATCAACGTAATAAGTGGTGTGAACCATTTCACATTTAAGGCCTAAGTCAAGTGAAATTTTAGGCAAATTGCTCAGAAATGTTTATATATTTTTACTGTATATTGTTTAAAAAAGACTACACATTCATGGAAAATTGGGTACGTGTTATCTATGAAAATTAGAATTTGTAATTGTTTAATCATTTCTATCCTTCATATTTGAATAAAAGAAAGAAGCCAAGCTCCCTCCTCAATTCAATTCAGTATGCTTTATTGGCATAGACAATATTGCCAAAGATAAAAGAACAAATAAGATTAAAAAGGGAAAGAAAAAAGGTCACTCTCTCTCCCCTTTCCTCCGTCCTTGGACATTTTGTTCGTGGTTTAGACCAAACTGCTTGTTTAATGTGTTATTTTTTTAATTTCAAAATAAAGTCAGTTATTGGCTAATGCAATTTTAACAATTATTCATTAACTTTAGTTTCTTTAGTCTAACAATCCCTATAATTTGTTTCATAGCCTACTACTTTCATCATATGTGTGTAGTAGATAGGAGACACCAGCAGGGAGCAGAGTAACAATCTGGAAATAGCCGGCATGGAGGGCTTTTAACCTTTAACACCCGCCTTCCTCCTTCCTCTTCCGGTTACGGCGATAGCAGGTATGGCGGCCCCTGCTTTCCTCTGAAACACTATGATTTAATAATCCACTGTAATCCTACGTTTTAAAAGACAATGTGGTCAATTTTAAGTATAGACAATACTAAAAACAACTCATTGTTTCTAAATATGTGATAATTTTATTATTTAGTGGTTTCTATGCGACATTTGACAGATGCCGTCCCTGGGTCGCTATGGCCGCTATCCAAACACCAAACTGAATGTTATAGCTGTAACTTTAGCCAACAACCACGCCGAAAGTGTGTTGTCATACTGAATTGAGTACCAGATAAAACTCCTCTTCAATAAAACAGTCGGGTCATTTAATAAGCTTAATGTTGGGTAAACTAGCTCAGTGTCAGCCGGTGTCTCTTAACATGTTGAACGGCAACATCAGTAGCATAGCTAGCGTGGTTAGCATCAAAGCATTACGTACCAACAGTGACTGAATTATTGTGTCTGTTTTCAGCTTCAAGATGGTGCAACGCCTGACTTACCGCCGTAGGTTGTCCTACAACACCGCCTCCAACAAAACCAGACTGTAAGTGAACTTTGAACAACATCTCTGCTCGGTTGCTTGCAAACTTGACGCATGCCCACTTGTGTAACAGTACCTCATTATTCTCGTGGTGTCCCGCAGGTCCCGAACTCCTGGTAACCGTATTGTGTACCTGTACACCAAGAAGGTCGGCAAAGCTCCCAAGTCGGCATGTGGCATCTGCCCAGGAAGACTGCGCGGAGTAAGTACTCTCATTGTGTTCTGTTGAAGGCCATTTGCTTTCCCCCCAGCGAGATGTGCTGTTACTCTCCTCTGTAAAGATTCAGTGCATGCACTTTTCATGGGGCTGGTCTCAGGCAAATACTGGCATCAGTCAAAAAGTATCTGCTGTAGTTATGTTTGATGTTATTCCCAGACCTTTAAGTGTGCTTTACCTTTACAAGGGTCTGTATAACTAATGAGGAAATGGTGGTCCTTCAAGAAGAAGACATCTTGAAGTTACATGGAAAATAACTTGAATTAGTAATTGGTTGTGATTAGGACCTGAATAGATGAGATGGGTGATCCTGCTGTTGCCTGAAAACATGCATGCTTTTGCTTCACTTGCTGCTACAGTATCAACAAGGCTCCCTTGACTTGCTGCCCTCCCTTGTAAACATAATAGTGCAGTAATAGATGGGCAACAATACTTAAAAGCATGCTGAACGGGAGCATATAGGAGAGTGGCTCATCTTGTCCATGTGGTGTTGTTCTAGGGAAAAAAAAAAGTTGTGATCACTATTGAACTTGAAACTATTGCTGACACAAGCTTCCATAGATCCAGACGTATTTTACCACGTTGTATTGCTTTTCTTGCTTTGTGTCCTTAAAGTTAAATTCAGGTGTATTGTAACTGCCTAGAGCCATGTCTAAAAAGAGGGAAAGATAACATGTCGCTTTTTTGACTAATGAAACAATGAAGCCCATTTTATTTTTGGGTTCTACTATTAGACTGAAAGCAGGCTGCCAGATGTTAACTACTTCATGTTGTGCCAACAGTCAGGGCATCTGTCAGTACATTTCATTATGGAAACTGGTGATGGGTAATGTGCTGTTACTGTTGGAAACAATTAAGCCTGTTTTCTGTGAACTTACTGAACATGTGCTTGTTGAGCTAAAATTTGGTAGTTATTTTGGAAATTAATATTTAACAGCACACAGACGTCACATGAATTGCAATCAATAAATCTGGTGGCTGGAGGTACCCAGGCAAAAAGGACGTGTGATAAAATGGTAACTGTTCATACTTGAGTTTAAAATACAATTATTAAACATTAAACAAAGGTGTCTTAATTATATTGGTACCTTGAGTAGTTGGCTTTTAGTGAAAGGTGGTGGCGTTAGTTCCTCTAAGTCAGTACACGTTGCCTGCTGTGGTCTCATTATGGTTCTGTTTCGTCTTGTAGATTCGGGCTGTTAGACCTCAGGTTCTGATGAGGCTCTCCAAGACCAAGAAGCACGTCAGCAGGGCCTATGGAGGCTCCATGTGCGCCAAGTGTGTGCGTGACAGGTAAGAGAAGCATTTGCTCTCATCTTCAAACTTTCTTGCTGAGAAACTGATTGTTTACTCTGATGGAGATAGTGACAAGTTCAGCCACTGATGACTGTACCTTTTGAATGTCTGATGGCGTTTGTCTAAATTGTCTCTTTTGCTGTTATTCCCAGGATCAAGCGTGCTTTCCTGATTGAGGAGCAGAAGATCGTCGTCAAGGTGCTCAAGGCACAGGCACAGAGCCAGAAATCTAAGTAAAATGTGTATTTGTATTGCCACAATAAAAAAATGACAGACAAATCAATTTCCTGTTGTAATTTGCAATGTCTTGGTTTGTCATCTTTTGACTGTCTTTCATTACACTTTATATTTATTACAGATGTGTTGAACAACTGCCAAAACTATTGGTTGAAAAGGTTAGGATTGTATCAAAATGGTCAAATTAGTAAAATTTTACATTTAGTCCAAATACAATAAAGCTTTTGAATTTAGAGGATTGTTTTTGACAAAGTCTGAGTACATTATACGATTTCATAATTCAGATTATTACTCATGCATTAATGTAAAAGCAGGATTTTACGGTTGTGATTAGTTGAGCTAACTTTTTTAACATACAGGATGACAACTAATGAGTCTTATTATAGATCAATGAATTTAATGTAATCACATTAATTGGATTGCATAAACTCAGAAAATGGTGAGAAATGCTATCACAAGTCCAAATCTCAGGGTTTGCTGCTTTTCCATCAAAGTAGTGGCTAATTTCTGTAAATGGACTCAGTTTCCTCTGTACTTGTATACTTCTGTTATCCATCACATTGTTTAAGGTCTTTGTACGTTTTATATGAAAAAAATCTTCATTTATAAAGTAACTAGTAAAGTGAAGCGGCCATATAAATCTAGTTGATTAAAAGAAAGTGGCATGAAAAGAGTACAAGTCCCTGTGTGCACCATCCTATAACCCAGATATTTGATGCTGTGATTGTGGAAAGACTGGAAGGGTCCTGATTTGAGGTAGAACAGATTTCTCCTCCTGATGTAAATCAGCAGAGTTATTATAAAATATGAATTGCTGTTAATGGAGCAGACAGTTGAAAATCAGAGTATGTATGTGTTGAATACAGCAGAGAGACATTCACTGACGCTACCCTGAACAGAATCCATGCAATATCAACTTGATGTTGTCGTCACATAGGAAGTTACTGTCTCTTTAAATTTACGTCACGCACTTGTGAGCCCAAAAAAAAAAAAAAAAAAAGTTTTTAAAGCATTAACCATAAAATATAACTATCAGCGAAATATTTCTGCTTAAATTTACTAAACACGAAATATTATAAACATAATAAAAATCGCCTGAATAAAAAAAAGTAGAAAAAAAAAAAAAAACACCCACCATGTACTTCCGGGACACGTCAACAGAGAGTGTGTGTTCAGAGGACTCGCAGTCAGCGGCAGCAGCTGGATTGTACCGATAGAACATCTGTTCAGAAACCATGGAGACATTGTACAGTATACCGTTCGCTGTGCTCGAGTGCCCCAACATAAAACTGAAGAAGCCGTCGTGGCTGCACATGCCGTCGGCTATGACTGTGTACGCCATCGTTATTGTGTCCTACTTTCTCATCACAGGAGGTAAACGCGTCTGCTAAGCTAACTCAACACTGCTAGCTTGTTAGCGCTACATCTGCACTGTGTCCGCATGTTATTTCCAGTTAGAGCTCATTAAAGTGTGCTCGGGATAATATATATATATATATATAATATGTCAGATATTGTAGGCAGTGGTTGCTAACGGTAACGCTAGCCTGTAGGCAGTCAGGCCAATGGACAGGGGGAGGCTAACTGCAGCTCAGCTAGCGTAAGAAACTAGTTGAATGTATCTTGGCTCTATTTGACATTCAGAATCGGTTCAGCAGTAAAATGAGTTCTATTGAACATGATCAGTGTGCTAATTAATGAGCAGGTTAAGTTGTTTATGGTCTGATTAATCTCAACTCCCCCCCCTCCCCTCCATTTATAGGCATCATCTACGATGTTATTGTAGAGCCACCAAGTGTGGGTTCAATGACTGATGAACATGGACACCAGCGGCCAGTGGCCTTTCTGGCTTACAGGTATGTCACTGATAACATTGTGAGCATCTCAACCAAACCCTGGACAGTAAGTCACATTAAAGCACAGTTAACATAGGTACTTTTGTTTTCCAGAGTGAATGGTCAGTACATCATGGAAGGACTGGCTTCCAGTTTCCTCTTCACGATGGGAGGCCTTGGATTTATAATCCTGGACCGCTCCAACGCACCAAACATTCCCAAACTCAACCGCTTCCTGTTGCTCTTCATCGGTTTTGTCAGCGTTCTCCTCAGCTTCTTCATGGCCAGAGTTTTCATGCGCATGAAGCTGCCGTAAGTCTACGCTTGTTTACCACCAAAAACGAGGAACTACGTGTGTATTATTTCTAATTTAAACATCAACCTGTCTTACAAAGTCTGTTTGAGTCAATAGGTAATGATGGTCTGTAATTCTGCTACTCTGATCTGATGTTTTCACAGCGTATTAACTCATTCATCTTCTGTCTTTCCAGAGGTTACCTCATGGGCTAGAGACAAAGAGAGCACACTGAAAATGAATTAGACGGACAGAGGACATCACATGCGTTGGGGCTCCAACAGGCAGTTCAACTAAAATTATGGATAAACTCGACCTTTTCGATATAATCAGCCATTCAGGATGGAAAGCACTGATCTCGCTAAAGAAATTAGACCTGCCTGCACTGACAGTCTCTCTCTGGCTGTGTCTCATTGGTGTTCAGTGACTTCCTTCCTTCTTCTTTTTTTCCAACTTTCCTAACAAACTGATGCAGAAGAGGATCACATAGGTAACTGTTAAAAGGCATTATCACCAGTGTTGCCATGTGTTTTGATTAAATTTAATTTCACTTTACTAGAAGCTAGAAGTAGCATACCGTGCAGCGTGGGAAATTTCTCCGAGCCACTGGAGAAGAAATAGGAAAGGAAGTTACTGAACACTGCTGGCATGGAGCTACTCATTTGGTATCGGGAGGGGGGGAATAAGATTAAAGTTGTGTGTTTTTGTAAAGAAATCATTGACAGAGCCTTGAACTTGTCACAGTTGCAATTTTGTACAAGGGTGTGAAATAAATCTTCTTTTCAGAACTCCTTGCAGTTGTCATGATGTTGTGATATAAACAGTATAGAGGCATTTTCTACGTACATTTATCAAAAACAAAACGGGGCAAAGACTAATATGAATATACCTACATTTTGTGGCCTGCATATACAGCATTTGGGAATTATGAATTGTACATAAGCATTGTAAGTTGCCCTCCAGAAGGTGGCAGCATAAATGTAGCAGGCAGTAGTGTTAACTGGTCATTGTAGTAAATGTAACAACATTATGAGCCTCAAATTCTGAGCATTTTGACACTAATGTGTTGTCATGTAACACAATGCATCTTGGGGGCTTATAATTACTGTTTTTTAAATGAATGCTGGAGATTTCAGGGTTAATAGAATAGAAATGAATGACCGAGGGCAGGCTCTTTCCAATGTAATCTTTCAACAGTGTCTTTATTGGTGGAACAGCGCTATGGCTGAACGTACAAAAATGATATTCACATAGACGCCTGATTCTGCAAAGTTGTTACTATTTGGTTCAGCACTTACGGGGTACTATTAACAACAGGCAATTGGTTGTGGCACATTTTAAACCCATAAAATTTGTAAATAGATGTTTTTCAAAGCAGCCATTTTGATATGAAATAGTCGGGTACACACAGGTGTTACCAATGATACTAATTAAGGTTCTGTACCATTTAGTGTAGCAGAGCCTGTGCAGCGAGCCAACATGCACAGTAGCAGCACCCTCACTCTGTTTGAGCTGAATGGAACAGAACCTTCATTAGTATCATTACTATTTCTTATCAAAATGACCTGAGTGAACTCACTGGCACTGTGACAGCTTTTGTGAGGATGTCTGCCAACTAAAACTTTAAGCGTGTATAAAACAACAAACACCAGTTTACAGTGAAACTCAGAGAGGAGGCCAACAGAAGGGGGGGGGGGGGGGGATTCCTGTACTTTCATGGTTCCACAATCTCCCAGGAACCTAAAGTGGGTTTCTAACATTGACACAGTCATCAAAAGGTCCCAGCAGAGTGTTTCCTTTCTGAGCCAGTTCTACAGTATACCTGCACACCCATCACTGGTTTGGATCAGCCACCGTACAGGATACAAGCAGAATACAACAGATAGTCAGGACTGTAGGAAGAAATCATTGACTCCAACCTGCACCTTCATTCTGGACTTATACACGTCCGGAGTCAGGAGACATCACTGCAGACTCATCACAACCTGTTCCAACTTCTCCCCTCTGGGAGGCGCTACAGAACACTGTACGCCAAAACAACCAGCCACAACAACAGTGTCTTCTCATAGGCCACCACTCTGATAAACACTTAGTCATATATCATATAACTTAACACTGAAACACCCACTTACCTTCAAATTATAAATTATATATGTACAGCTTATACAGTATATTTATTTATATAAACATCGTATGTTGTCCCTGTTTTAAGCTGCATGTCTATGTTGTAAATTGTTCTGGCTGTAAATACATTGAGAGCCACTTGAAACCTGTGTTTCAAATTCCTTGTATGTGTACACATACTGGGCCAATAAAGCTGATTGGTGATATATATATATATATAATTGTTTATTGATAAAGCTGAGCTTTTGGTCACTAGACCCTCATTAAAGCAAATGTTTGACATAAGCACACGTGTTCTGTCAAGCAAGTACACATGGGAAATGCAGTCCACAGCTGTAGCTCCCATGGTCCAAATTCTGTACAACGGATGCTACACAGATACAACATATGGCAAAAACTAATAATAAATCAATGTGTAAAGCAATCAGGAAGTTAATAAAAAATGAACTGCGTATTAGAACTCCTAAAAGTACTTAATTAACTCACTGCATAATTATCTTCTCAAAATATACATTTAAACTCACAGACTAGCTGCAAGAAGCCTATAGTCCATTAAAAAAATTATTTCTTCATATTCCCTGTCTTCATCTTATCAATTGTCAGTGGCTCTTGAATTTGTCTAAAAAAGTATTTTAAAAATATATTTTATTTTTATATTTTTTTAATTAAAAAAAAAAAATTCTGTAAGTAAACGAAAAAAGTCAGAAATGTTAACTTCAAGGTATGACATTATGCACAATAAAATGAAGTGTTGTTTTGGGGTCTTCTGGGATACTAGATGGCACTTCCCTCCCACTGTATATGTTGAGTGAGTCACTTATCTCCTCTCCACATTATGGAGAATGGTCCACAGCTTCAGCCAACAACAAGAGAGATGTCAGAGAACATTTTGTACTTCATGAACACCATAGATCAATTATGTCACATTTATTTTTTGCCTGGGGAAGGGCCTCTCTTTGACTGATAATTCCAACATGCAAGTGACAAACTCACAGCTTTTGTCTACTCTCTGTTGAGAAGGGACATTGGTCAATTATTGCTGGTTTGTCAAACAGTGTCCATGTTTGTTTGTCTGAGGCAGATTGGAATAAGATAGGCTTACACTCAGTACAGTTAGTTTTCATGCTCATGTATATTCCACATGTGCTTAATTCAAGCTGACCCTCCTAGAAGGCAGAGGTCAGGGCTAGAATTTCCCTCATGGATCAACAAAAACAGTATTTTCATCCAGTATTTTATTCAATACAGACTCACCACACAATGTATAATGCCGTTCCACACTTTCAACAACAGCAAGCAATTTATAATCAGTAAAAACTATATTTTAATGCTAATATCATTGCATGTTTTGACATAATACATTTTGATTAATTCAAATTATGATTCCGTGAAAATCGTGGTCAAGTGAATGTTGGCAAATTAAAAAATTTAAAATTATTTACATGAATATACAGGTTGTGTAGCATGTTTTTGCACCAAAGTGAAACAATAATAGACATGTTAGACACGTGGCTTGAATGTGTGAATGTAGAGAGATGTAATTAAAAAAATAATACCTGAGAACACACTGCAATCTCATAGATACACAGCATATTATTATTATCAACACTTTTCATTAGGTTACATGAGGCACTTCACTTTTCACCCCTGTGTTTTGTCACCTCAAAAGTTTATTATGTCTTACAGTTACTGGTTATTATTTAAGATAGATAGTGTTGTCATTTGACGGCTCAGACGTGAGGCAGCATTATGTCTTGAGGCGTTTGGTTTGTTTGGTTTGTTGAGTAACTCCTTGAGTGCTCATTTTGTTGTGCACTAACCCACTGTGATACTGGTGTCCATTTTCATCAGAGGGCAGCTTGAAATAAAACCACAAAGAGATAAAGTTGAAATGAAAATCAATGCAGTTGGAAATTTAGTCAATGACTTTTTGTTATCTTCATGTAAGTGACGTGACATAAGTTATTTATTAGACTAAAGCTTTGGTCTACAAATTAGCTTTGGTTAATTGAAGGCTACAGAAAGAGTTTAAAATAGGGAGCAGAGTCACACTTACCTTTCTTTTGCTGCTTTCATTCTCTACTTTCAGTGCATTGTGCAACTTCAAGCCTATGGCTTCCTCAATTTCTAGAAACACAATAACACACATAACTGAGAGCTCATACAGCAATAGCAGGTTAGGACAACGCCGTGTTCCAGCATCAACGCTGTAAGCAACACATAACGGAGAGAAAAGGAATGGGGAAGTGTTAAGTACCTGTGAGAATGTGGTCAATATTCTCCACCACCAGGTCAGCATCCTCCGTGGTGAAGCACATCGGGGGCTTAAATTTGAGCACATTGCGATGTGGTCCATCAGCACTGAGGAGGATGTGCTGTTCCTTTAGCCTGGGACGAAACACGAATTATTCCACACTCTGTATCAATTTACGAATTTAAATGAAGCGGTTGAGCCATTTCAAAAAACGCCTTTTTCACAGCAGACAAAGGCACAGGTGAAACTAATAACATTAAAGGTGGCTCCGCTTCATGCAAGTGTCCATTAAAGCCCGACAGTGAGCCAGCGTGCACGACAGCAGCCACACCTCAATGAATGCAGCCTTAATTAATGTATTATTTACACCTGTGCTTTTCCTGCTGTTACCAAATGTCCATCAAAATGTCGAAATTGTAATATCAAATTTCAAACAACAAATTTCCCCCGTGGGGATTAATTAAGTATTTCTGATTCTGAAACACTGTATTGTTAAGTGATTGTTTGCCATCATAATATGATGGCAGTTTTTGGTAATTATGTCTTTTTAAATGAGGTCTATTTTTTACTCCAATCCCCATGCAGGTCTGATTAGTAATTGTCAAGTTCAGTATTTGTGAACTCAGATTGTCTGATGTCTTAACAAAGATTACAAATAGCATAATATGCAGCATAATGCTAAAGCTGAAACAATGTGTGTGTGTGTGTGTGTGTGTGTGTGTGTGTGTGTGTGTGTGTGTGTGTGTGTGTGTGTGTGTGTATGATATAAGATAAGCCCACCAAAGCTATCGTAACACTGGTGGTGGAACTGAATCATGGTTGCAATTTTCTCAACAGAGAATAGAGAAAGTTGCAGAACAGTATAATCAAAGCAGGTTGTTTTCTTTAAATGCTGCATAATATGTTTTTCATAATTAATATCATATCAGACACTAATCTGAAATCTAACACTTACTTATATATGACTTCTTGGGCTTCTGCTGTAGCCGGGGTGAGCTTCAACCTGTCCTTCACAAGCTCCATCCCAACAAAGAGGCCACGACCCCTGCAGGATGTGACGCCATTTGGTTTAATCATCTCTGACACACACAGAATCCTACTGACCTCTGCATGACGCAGGCAATTTTTAAGAAAGTTGTTTTTCCAAATATGTTCTGGGTCATGGTAACATACACCAAATTAAGCCTTTTAGGTAAAAAAAAAAAAGAAATGTACACTTATAATCACAATATTTGTCTTTACAATAGCAACAGGTTCAAAGTTATCAATATCAGTTTGTCAGAATATAATGGCAGCTGTATGCCCAAGGTAAATATATCACAGAATCTCCCACAATGTTTAACTGACAATCTCTGGGAAGAGCAAATGTGTCAAAATCATGTTTAATTGTGGGGTCACTGATTTACATGTTGGTCCAAGGATTATACAAACATGACGTAATAATAATAATATAATAATAAAATATAATATAATCAACAGAGTTCTGAATCAGCTTTACACGTACAGAACTGATCAGCTGCTGTGTCACATACTGTAACTGTGTGTGTGCGTGTCTGCCTACCTGATATCACCAACCAGTGGATGCTTCTCTTTCTGCTTTTCCAGCAGATCGGTCAGGTATCGCCCCACACGCAGCGCATTACCCTGGAGATCCTCTTTCCCAATCACGTCTAGGACGGCCAGACCGATGGCACACGACACTGGGTTGCCGCCAAACTGGGAAATTCAAAACCCACACACAGAGGAAAGATTACACCGAGGTTAGGTTCACACCACCTAGGAAATCAGCTGCTCAATCATCAGGGCGACAGAACCATAAGACAATCTGATGCACTAATTATATAACAGACGTACAATGTCACAGAGTCAGCCTAGTGATTTTTGTTTATGCTAAACTGACTCAACTACTTTCAGAATGTGACTGGAAAAGATCCACACTAGTTGAAAATCAATTCAATATGAAAGAGAGAACTCTCTCAGCTCCTTTCTTTCACAGGAAATAACTGTAATCTGAGGCCATCAATGAAAAAAAAAAAAAAAAACTGGCTCGAACAGAATGTATTTTCCCCCATAATGTGGAGAGCAGCTGTGTCGATACGCTTGTCAAATATAAACAAGAACGTCATGTCAAGGATGAGGTCGGGTCAGTGCCATTTGTGGTCAACTTGGGAGAAAAAGCAAAGATCATATAATGTGTTCTCTGCAATCTGCCTTTGTCTTTTTTATATCAACCACATATTGAGTGAGGATGGAACAAAAGAAAACTTTTTATTACAGCCCAATTCTTCACTATTCCACATAATGATCTTACTGTATTGAAATAATCCATCCCAGAAAACGTGAAGGCCTCTGCCACCTCTTTGGTCGTGACCACACAGGACATGGGGTGCCCGTTGCCAATAGGCTTTCCCATGGTGACGATGTCGGGCACAAAGTCCTCTCCCTGGAGCTGGAAAGCCCAGAAGTTGGCGCCGACACGCCCAAAGCCCACTTGGACTTCATCGGCGATGACAATGCCCCCTGCCTTGCGGACGTGTCTGTACACACAGTTGGAGATTAAGTCTAGTTAGCTGCTCATTCTCTTGATAAGGTGCACAGCAACATTTATGCAACAAAACACACGGCACAACAAGTTTGTCTATACCATAGCACCGCTGAAAGAGAACTTTCTTAAACACTTAAATCCTCAATCCTCAAATATGTATTCTGGTGCAGCTGCTTAAAGTTGTTTTTTTGGGTGTGTACTTTTGTTCACTGCTTCGAGCATTTTCCTGCAGTGTGCAAACATGTCATATTCTGGACATGTTTACCATACTTTACATTCAGTTAATCATTTCAGAATGACAGTTCTTCATATTTCATATTGGTGAGCTGATTCTGAACAGCAAAAAGAGTAGAAAACGCTGTCAGACACCGATTATGAACAGTGAATCTCGGCAATGACTTGGGTACATACTCTGCCACTTGCTGGAAGTAGCCCACGGGGGGAATGACCTGCCCGCCGCAACTCTGCAATGACTCAGCAATAAAAGCGGCAATCTGCATAAGAGAAAAACATATCAGGTCTATCGATCTAAAACCGGCACTGATAACCTGGAAAAGAAGAGGAGGTGTTCTGGCATCTTTGACCTGTAGATCGCCCTCTTTCATAAGAGTGTCACTTTTCAGATTGCAGTGCACAAACAAGAGAGACAAACAAGGTCATGTAATGCTTGGACAGAAATGAATGTTAATATAGATCACTGTGGGAAAAAAAAAATCTTGACAGTGTATTATTCACTTTGTAAGATCAACAGGGTGCAATATTTAAAGACATACAAGTATCTAGGTGTTTTTGTACTCCTTTTGTTAATTTTGGTTTCCTCCTGTAGACTGCACAAACATCCGTTAGAAAGGCATTCTGTACAATCTCTGGGCTGCAGTGCCGTCCCTCTTGCCACTGGGTTGAGCTTTTGAACATATGGGCCAACAAGCTTGGACACTAAAGAGTCGCCTACACATGTTCTTGGGTTTGACACTAAAAACCAGAGACCACGGCCTGAACCTGTGATTTGGGAGAACAAGTGACAGAGGAGAGAAGAGGAGAAGGCGGAAAAAACCCAAATGAGTATTTATAAATAAAAGGAGGACAAACACACTTGAAATGATGAGGGTGCTTGCAAATGATCAGGTACAGCAGTAAAACATATGTAAACCATACTTTGGTGTTTCATTTTTACCTCCTTACTTAAGATTTCATTAAACTCTTCTTTTTTTTCTTTTTACAAAATGAACCAATACACTGACAAAAGAAGATCTTGGGTTAGGGTTAGAAAATTTGACATTTCAAACCTTTAAATAAATGATTTCCAACTTCATGGTGAACTGATCAAACATTTCTGAGGTTATTTCTGCATCATAGGGTCGATCTCGCTTTGAGTTAACATCTGGTAGCACTACAATATCAAACTCAAACCGTACCTTGCCTCCTTTTTCATGGGCTCTGTGTATTATATCTTTGACTTCATCTGCATATGCTGTGGCGGGGTCAGGGTGGTCCGCTCTGTATTTGCCTCTGTACACATCTGGGCTCGGAGCCTGTATTGGGGACATGGCGTTGAGATGATTACTAAAGCAGATTCATCACGTCTGCGTAACCAAATCTACAGCGTGCAGCACACTCACGCACACAAAAAGCGACAGATCAAATATTATGAAAAACTTTTGACCCAAAATGCTCAACGGAGATAGAGGAGTTACTCAGAGCAGGAAAAAATGAAAATGAATCGTGGAAAGTTGTGAGACGCTCAGAATTGGGGGAAAAAATGTGATGCTCAGGAATGGTACCAACACCCTCTCACTGATCTATCTTGCTATTTACATTCTGGTCCGACATAAGTCAAAACACCCAGGCAAGCAAGCGTTTTGCTATCTTGGTGTTTACATTTCAGTCTGGGCTGTTCTCAGAGAAGCCCAGGCTGAAAAGTTGGTCAACCAGTTCAGATGCTTCAGAAACTTCTTCGTGTCTATGCTCATGAATAAAATATGCAAGCTGGCGAAACAGACTGAATTGCCCCACCTGTGACATGTAACACTAGAGCTGGGGATTCCACAAGTTGCCATATCAGACTACACCGAGGCGATCAAGGAACTGAGCTGAGTGCACAGGATCACACAGCACAATGCAGTGAGGACTCTGGATGCACATTTTTAGCTTGACTGTTCATTGCAGACTGTGAGGATTATTCAAATAAACTGTAAACAAATTTTGTATTGCTCTTTCAAAGAGTTACAGTTTAAAAAAAGAGATATCTTGACCCTAGATACCCTGATCATAGTCCATTCCCTTGTATGACTTTATATAGAGATTCTTTGATTGCAGGCAGTTGAACATTTTTAATCAGTCATGCTTCTTGAAGTATCTTAACATGTGCGCTTCACATTTTTTACTGAAAAGGAATAGAACATCCAGTGCCTCCAGCATTTTCAGGGGTTTGTGTTTAGAGGCTCTTCTATATACAACTGTAGCTAAACCTCTCGCCCTCTAACACCAAAAGTAAAATGCCTCCTTTTCAAAGGCACTTTGGTTCAATTTACAGTAAAACCTACTTGTATTTAATGCTTCTGTCTCCTTCTGTCTTCCTCATCAACACACACACACACACACACACACACACACACATCTCCACACAGGTATGCTTGTTCATGCACAGGAGTGAATACATCAATGACAGTAGCCTGCCAAAACCCAGTGGTGCAAGTTGAGTTATGGTGTTTTCATAGTGTGCAGGCAGGCAGACGGGGCGAGAAAAAGCACTCACCACATGGACATATTGGTTCTGCTCAGCATCTGACAGCTGGTGGAACTTATACGGGCTGATGTCAATGAGCGATGAGACATGGCCGTGGTACGCACTGCAAACAAAGGAAACGTTTACCAAATCAGACATTACCCTTTATTGTGATTTCTTAAAAAATGATCAAGGTGTTTTGGAACAAATGCACGGGCAGTAGCACTTACTTCTCCAGCGTGATGATATCTTTGTGGCCTGTGTACTGCCATGCCAGACGAAGCGCCAGGTCGTTGGCTTCAGAGCTGAAGTTCAAAGGGGCAAGGGTTACTTCGAGTTACTCAGTCACCACAAAATACACAGGTGAAGCCGTGGATATCACTAGCACGTCAGTCACAGTTTGATGTTTTACTTCCCATTATGAGGGCATGTGAGGTGATCTATTTATTACTACTGGAGTTAAATGCTTGCGCGAAGATCTCAGAGGAATATTGAAGTTATTACAACCACTAAACATATTTTAGTATGGTCAACTAGTCAGTGTGTCAGCCATATGGGAACTGTAGCTGACTGGAGTTCAACTGACTGTCTGGTGTCTTTTCCCTACCTGTGTGTGCTTGTATCATAACAGGCAATTAAGCAACACATGCCTCTGGCACATGAACAAGTTAGCTACCTATACCTGTTTTGCTCACTGAAAATGATCCAGCATTGCAAAACAATAGAGCTAGCGTGTCTTTCGACATGAACCTGGCTACAGGTTTTTTTTTATATCCCATTCAGCCACACCAGTCTTACTGAGGTGTTACAGTTCCTCTCTAGGGGTTGCGGTCAGGTCTTTGTGCACCAAGCTTGAAAACTATTTCTTTATGGATCTGGGTGTGTGCATGAGGACACAAAAAAGGATCTTCCCCAAACGGTTGCTACAGACTAGGAAGTGCAATATTGTCTAAAATGTTGCTGTAGCATTGAGATTCCGTTGACGTAGAACTAAGGAGCCCATATGGTATATATAATATTTAGTATATCTTTTCCCCCCTTGTCTTCAGTGTGCAGTCTGACTGCACCTTTGTACTGTTGTACAGACTTCAGAAAATCTTTGCAGTGATAACTTAACACCTCTGTTTGGTTAGGTTTATTACTTCTCTCAATGCATTTATTTCCCTGAGACTGATAAATAGTTAGTCTGGCACTGAGTCTATATGATCCGTTATCTACTACATTATTACCCTGAGCCAGATAATTCCCGTTCCGACTCCAGCAAGTGGTGTAAATGAGTAACCACGCCTAACTGGTCCGGTATAATGTCCAAAGCTGAATATGCATTATATTATACTATATTACTATTGTCTGGAACTCTAGACACTACGGAAGAATGCTGATCTGGAACTTTCACTTCTAGCTCAAGCAGACTAATATTGCTGCTGTTCCCAAATCAGCACAATTATAAGATCTGAGAATGCAAACCAGCAGGAGGCAGTACCAAGGAGGATGAGGCACTGCAAAGGCATTTTTTTCTGTCTTAATGTTGTTTCCCATGGTACAGTAACATTACAGTCATACATGTTCAGACTATACCCGTTTATCTAGTCCACCTCAGGCTACAGTTCAGGTGATTAAAGCCGTTATGAGACAAGATATGAATGTCAATTGCATCTGTAAATCACCTCCACTAAACAGCTCATTGCCTGCATTGTGCCTTTAATAACATCAACTGATCCACACTTAAAAAACAAGTCCGGCTAACCTTCATGATGTGTGTGCGGTTCGAGGAGAATGACAATATGCAAACATACCCAGAGTTGACAAAGTAGCACACAGACAGCTTGTCGGGCAGCGTGGCCTGCAGCTTCTGGGCGTAGAGTACTAGGTTGTCGTGTAAGAAACGTGAGTTGGTGTTGAGTACTTCCATCTGCTGGGCTCCTGCCCTCACCACGTCTGGGTGACAGTGGCCCACTGGGAAATGGAAGAAATGATGCACGCAGGGTTGGAACATTCAGGACAAAAACACGCTTTAAATCATCTGACTGTAATTTGTGGTCAAACAATACCATGACAACTGATATACTGTTAAAGACACATAATTGGAGACCATATGCTGAAATTAAAGAGTGTTGAATGTGGTAGGCCAGGAGACGTCCTGTTTTACATTCCTGTCTGCCTGCAAGTAGTGCAGCCTTAGTCACTCTGAATTATGTGTACATTGCGTGACAACTTTGTAATGTATGTGAAATCCTTCTGCTCGTGCACTGTAGTGAAAACCACTCCTCCGGTTTCAGTTTTTTCATTTTTTGGTGGAAGTGATGACACAGTAGAGGTAAAAAAATAAACCTGATGCACATATTTGTGTGTGTTTACCGTGAGCCACGTTGTTGATGCAATCCAAGTAGCGCTGTCCTTTTTCATCATACATGTACTGGCCTTTGGCTTGCACTATCTTGATAGGGTCATGGCTGAAGAAAATCTTACATGATGGCCTGCAGAGAAGCTCATATTAGTATTTACATGAGTGCAAAGTGTTCCCTTCACTCTGGTTTAACAGCTTTTATGTTGTACAGTGTTAATAAAAAGATATTATGGTTACTTTTTAATTGAACTCATGAGCTGTGCAATATAATGCACACAAATGCTACAGCAGCTTGCAGATAAAGTACTGTATGTTTATTAAAGTGCATTAAATCAAAGCCTAATCCAGGTGCACTTAACTTTGCATGTCACCGTTGAAAACCCTGCTAAGCTACCCTTTATCAACTAATTAATACATTAAAATTCGTTTAGATAATAATAATATGCGGTTTGTTGTGACACAGCTATGTCATGATGCGTCTGTAGTAGAAGTCTGTAGATTTTTTCCACTAAAATTAGTTGTGAGGATACTTTTACTTCACGACTTCCATCTTTAATGTATACAATGCAGAGTGATATAAGTGCAGAAAGTCATTAATCTTACCCAATGTGCTTCTTCCTCAAGTCTATCGTCTTCTTTTTCTCAAGTCTTTCCGCGCACATCCTGATGCTGTCTAATGTACAGCTGTCCGTCAGCTTTCCTCCCCACCGACTCGAAGATTAGCTACATCTGCTCGAGCACAAATAACCCGGCTTTATACACGCACGCGCGAGCGCACGCGCCCCTGAAGAACACCCACACGTTGAGCCGCGGCTCTCTCGCGCAGCTGAGCTCTCTCTCTCGTGCTGCCACCTAGCCGGAAATTTACAGCGGACAGCTTGCAGATGCCTCGAGGACAGGTATTCAAACCTGTTCCACAGCTGTTTGACAACGATACACTGTGTTTTTAGAGGTGGAGAGGTTATGTATTTGCGTGTTTACTCCCCTACTGTTTTGAGCTTGCACACCTGTATATGTTGCAACATGTGCAATATACACATAGGCAAAACCTGCAAGCTTTAAGTGTACTTAAATGCATTTTCTGGCTATTAGCAGCAGCTACTCCACTAGAGAACATAATATTTAATAATGGGATATTGAAGACTACCAATAAAGGCCAGACTATTGTTTGATGTATTTGAAAGACTGTTTATTTGGCTCCAACAGTACAGTCATATGAAATGTCATCTTGAAATATAGCCACGTGTGAACACAAGGGTCTTTAAAGAAATGTCAATCAAGTGGGTAAAAAAAAAAGGAAAAGAGTACTGTAATACAAATGCAGACCAGAAACTGAACATATACCACGACCAAAACAATGCAGTTTTAACTCAAAAAAGCCACAATGTGGATTTTGCTTTGAATTTGTTCTCCTGTACCAACAATGTATTTTATTCTGCAGAGTATGTGGCAATATACTTATATCAGTAAGGCTGTGGTGCATTGGGGAGTATGTGTAAGAGTTCCAGAGTTCTGAATAAGAGACCATAACACAGATGAATGTGACTTACAGTTATCCTACACCAGCACCTTTACCCTTCTCTGAGAGGTTGTGATGAAGTGTGGCTCATGGGCGTGTACTGTTTCTACAGAGGAAAACTTGACTCAGAGCATTTTCTGTAGAAATGACAAACACACAGACTTAGCTTATCAGTGAGTCATTTTGGAGCCCCTGACCAGCTCTGCTAATACTGATATGGAAATAAAAGGTTTTGGCACTTCTGCTAATAGCAGAATAAACTAAATTTGAAAATTTAACAGGGAAACACAACAATCAAAAAAAAACAAACGGAAAAAAAAAAATCAATCAAATAAAAAAATCAATTAAAAAAGTAGCTGCACATGCTAAAGATACAGCAATTTGTGAGAACAAATACTGTAACAAAGGCTGGAAATCAAAACACAAAATAAAAAAAAAACACAATGCAAAACTTAGTAAATATTAAGTAATGGAAATAGCATGTTAAAACATGAGTGAAGGGACAGTATTTGAGGAAGTTTAAACCAATCAAAATCTGATATTTAATGAAAGGTCCATGTTTACATTTATTTCTTCGTCTTCTACTAAATAAACATTTTCTTTCCAGGTAGTGGCATACAGGGTAGCATAACTGAGCAAATGGAGCTATAGAAATCACAATGACGTGATATTTCAGCTGCATTTGATGCTACACACATTAACCAAAGTATAAATTGCACTTCTTGTCAAATGAGCACATTTTAACAGTACATTAATAATCCACTATACATATATCAAACTACATTCAATGTAAAGAGAGAGAGAGAGAGAGAAGAGAAAGCGTGAGAAAAAGATGTGATATTTAACTTTTTACGCAGTTGCATTGGCTGGGCCTGTCGACATTCAGGCCAACTTTGTTGTCATAGTTAGCTTTTTGACACACAAAATTAAATAAAAGCAGATGTATTCAATTGTAAGGCCCATAAGCTGAATTAAATGCACAGTGAATACACACTGGTCTGTAATTTGTAAATGACCACCTTCCTTCACACTGCACCGTTTGCATAACTGTTATGTGATGCCTAAGCATGATCCAAACTTCTCATAATATCAACAGAGAAACTGACATCAAAACAACTGAAAGGAATGCTGTTTAGAACCAAAATGCCTTCATTTAAGAAATTATAGAAAAATAAATAATGTACCACTTAAAATATTGAGACAAATACACAAATATATGCACAAAAAAATAAAACAAAAAAATTTAAATTGTTACATACATAAAACCCCAACAACAATAAAGAAACCTGTTGTGTAGTTCTTGCCACTGGTAGAGCGCATCAACTGAGCTGCTGTTGACCTATCAGATAGCACCATTATAATCTATACAGATGTGCACCCATTCTTTATAACGATGAGATGAACTGTACAATCAAACAGAAACCATATGGGAAAAAAATCTTCTTCAATCCACCTGTGGTTGCTGCTACATCACAACAAAATGTTGGTTTTTCACATCTGCCCTTACAGTAAATCATCATGCATATTTCTAATGTTGTAAAGAAAAGAAGTACCGAGTATCACCTTGCATAGCACCTACTATGTCAGGAGGCAATTTGAGTATAAGAAAAGATGAATAAACTATGTTGACGTACTGCTCCACTTTTTGCTCCATCTGATATGGAATGTGACGTAACTGGCCACCAGTTAGACTGTGGTGTAGCTAATGGAAGTTTACCAATTAACTGCGTCTGTCTGATTTAGCTTACCTTGCACTGTAATACATGTCTTAAGACAATACACGAGGTGTAAAAGAGCAGTGTGAGATTGTTCTGTTCAACATAATCTGACACATCTGACAATACCAGCTGCTGTATGCTGAGCTGAACCTGAACCCCAACCCTGAAACAACGTGTTATGCCTCTGATACACTTGCTCAAATCAATGCTAAATTTTCAATATTCAAGAAATCCATAAGTCATAAATTGTGTACATGCAGTGAACTGACAACACTGTACAATTAACATCCCATACAACAAGTCCAGAATGAACAAGTAGCATATTTGTTACACTGCCGGATGCGTTTTGCACAAACTATGAGCTTCTTCAAAAACCACTAGTAAGATCAGAGGCTTTACAGTCACCATGGACGCAATCTTACAGTGTGCTCAAGTGAAGCTATGACCTAACATGCTATTTCAACATCCTGTAAAAACAACTCATGAAAAACAGTGCACAATGTGTGACTTTTCAATACTCTTACAACCTTTTTTTTTAACCAAACAAAGCATACCCTTCTGAAACAAAACACCATTCCAATAATTCCAAATATGATATAAAGTTGTACATTTCTGATAAAGGAATGAATAAAAGCTTGAGGCACCAAAGGCTATTATACACAAAATACAAACAATGTTAAAGAATGAGAGCAAAAACAAAATAAAGAAAAAACATGATTGCATTCTGTTAACGCTCTCAGTAGACCTTGAAGCGCTGCCTGTCAGGAGAGGCAGATGCTCCAGCTGATCTCTATGGAGATCGATGAGACTCTTAGCGACTCTCCTGCGGAATCCATTCCCGTGCTCAGAGGCGGTTCCTCGACCAGGCCTCTCCAATCTCAAATCCACATGAGCCCGATTTGTTTTCCTGTCAGTGCAGCGAGCCTGCTAAGTTCTCCCCTCTTGTCCGCAGACGTGTGGCTGCTGGGAGGCACCACAACGACGATGATTGCTGAGTGCAACAGTGAAAACCTGCTGATATCATACCCTCTCTCTCTGCAGGCATCACCACAATAAAGCAACAATAACCAACAGCTTTTTACTTTCTGGGGATTTTCAGGCTACCAGCCATGGCGTGACTCCCTTGGGAAGATTAAAGGAAAGCAAAAAAATTACTAATTTAGAGCTCTGGGGTTGTTGTTTTTTTATGTTAGTGTTGTTTTTTTTATCTTTTTCTGCAGAAGCCATGACGCAACCACAAAACAGTGACATGTATGTACAATACATATAAATATAGTTTCAGTATACTACTCATGCTTTTGCAGGGTCAGGGGTGCAATGTTCTGTTTGGCACAGTGTCTTTTCTTTTTTTTTTTTTAGTCTTTTAGAAAATGGTGCTGCATGAATGGGTGGTGAGCTTGTTGAGACGAAACGACACAAAACACCTAGCGTTTGGTGTTAGAGAGCCAGTCCAGATCCCCCCATCCTCCACTTCCTTCTCCTCCTCCTCCTTCTTTCCACGTCTCCTTTTCACCCCTGTGAGTCTGGCCGGGCTGCGCCGCTCCAGTCTGAGCCATGCAAAGACTACAGAGACAAGTTCTCTTGCCAGCTGAGGATCTGAACTCCACCACGATGTGGATGTGAGAGAGCGAACACACACACACGGTTGTTGTTGTTTTTTTCCACACGGTGATGTGAGTAGAAGCAGCTTAGGGCGTGAAACTCGGGACAGTTATCTCTTTTTGTATCATTGTACACATTGACTTCTTTTTCTTTTAGACTTTTTTTTTTAATCCATTAAAAAAACTATAAATACCATAAAAGAAGCATTATTTACAAACTCCATGCGTTTCAGGTTAGAGTGATCACTGCAAGAAAAACACAGGAGAGAGAATGACATGAAGATGGACATGTTTTCACATTGTTTCATGACTTTGAGTTGTACAATCTGGTTTGACACAGTTGTTACGACTTAGGTAACAGAACAACCCATGCAAACATAGAGAAGCTGAAACCCACAAGAAGAAACTGAACTTACACGGAGTGAACAAAATATTAAGAGCACTTTCTATGTCCATTTAACAGGAAAGAGGAATTGAATCACAGTCCAAAACTATGGTTTTGATTCCACATTCCAAACCTAGATGCAATTTACTTCACTTTCCTGTATGAATTTTAAATATGGCCCTTATATTTTGTTCACTCTGTACATGTGCTGCACTATTGAAGTCTGTAATGTTACTCAAATATGTCTTACCTTCTGCCAGCAACCAGGCATTGGTAATCCATCTGGGCCCTGTTTATAGGAGAGTAGCAGGGGAAAAAAACAAAACTATGAGGACTGTAAACAGGAATAGGAGGTTTGCTGTTAATAGATTCAGCTCACACAATGATTTAAAGTTTGATAAATGAGTGGATTTTAACCCACAAGAACACATAACAAATGTCATACTTTAAGCTACTTCATAGAAAGTTTTTTCCCACAGACAAATTAATTCAAATCAAACCAGAAGCAAATGAGGAGTGTTCATCAGAAACCTTCACTTATCTACATGAATTATACTATTTTTACTACTTACTTACTATTTCTTTTACCTGGTGATTACAAACTGACAGTCAACACGAGAAAACTGTGTTTACTGCTGTCTCAAAGAGTTAAAAATATAGGATTTCTGGGTATTGAAGTCCTCAAAATTGAAAGTTTGTTTAATGTGTAGCTGCTGACGATTGCATCACTATGTCTATGTTGAAATACTGAAGTTGATGCTACAGTGTCTAGTTTAGGGAAGGAAATGTCACAATGTAAACTGCACAAACTTTCTCTGACTCATTGCACTTGATGTGAAATTAAGTTCTTTAAAAAGGATCTTTATGTAACAGGAATTTGGTAATGAATATAATGAAAACTGCGAGAGTGTATTCTCATCCATGCACATAATACACAGCAAAAAATACAGTGGCTCATGCACATCAATATACTGATGATTCTACTCTCTGATTTTATTATAGTTTATCTCAAAGTTGAGTTTCAAAACACTATAACAAAATCAGGGAGTTTATCTTAAGATAAAGTCATTGCAGCTGGTTCAAGTCAATGAATATAGATGAAATTTAATGAGATGACATTTGTGATATATGAATTTTTTCTTACCTATAACTCATTTCATTGCATTATGCTTATATAGTCACAATGTTCTCTTAAAATTAGTTCTCATGTACTTTAACCACTAAACATTCTACTCACAGTGTTAGAACTCCCATGCATAACACAGTATTGTCTTAGCAGCAGAAGGAATCATAAAATCATCTAAATTCATGTTGTCATCTTGAATAGGTCTGGAACTGTAACCACTTGACTGATTTTCTCTTATAGTCGTGGTCTGGCCCAATTGGTACAAATAGAGGAAAGGGAAAGGGGGAGTTAACAGAGTAGAGGAGGGGTCCATGTGCCAGTAGCATGGGCATCAGTAAAGGAGTCTGTGTTAGCATCGGGTTAAATAGGTAACTGGGGCCATGGAGGTATCAGCTTGAAGGAAAGATTTAAACAGAACCTTTTTCAGGTTTTAATCAGGGGAATGGAAGGATTCAGTTAGAGGGATAGATTTAAGTATCAACTATATCAACAACCATATGTTTATTTTGTTTACGTCACTTGTAATGATGTGTGGTATCTAAAAAGAGGCTGCTTGCGGTCAGGAAGTTAGTGAGGTATATGTTGGTGCGTGTGTTTTTTTGTTTATTTTTTAACAATTCATGAATGGAAAATGTAGCTGTGCGTCAAATAAGGCATGTTCATGATTGTTAAGCTCTCAAGTCATGCATGGTTTGCTGTCAGTAATGACTGAAGGTGAGCAGCATGCATGGGCAAGAGGTGGAGGAAAAAGAGAAATACTGTACCAATTGGCATGGGGCATCCAGCCCGTCCAGACCTGGCTGCCCTGGTTCCCCCTTTTCACCCTTAAATCCCCGGAAACCCTGTTTGCAAAGATGACCTAGGAGTGTTACTGGGAGAGAGGTGGACGACTCTTAACCCCTGCATCCATCCACTACAACGGACACAAGGGGTTGGCAAGGGAGGAGCTGCCCTGTGAGCGTGCTGATACCACAATCCAGCCAAAATGATATGTTTTTCAGCATTTAATGGTTTATTTTTGTGTCCGAATTGCAGAGTTACAGGATAGATTCCTGGGTTTCAGGACCATTCTATGGTCTGGTGGAAGCTGGGTATCTGTTCAGCCACAGGGAGCTCATCCTTGTTTGGGGACGACTGCTCTACAAGGCTGGGAGGCGATTTCCAGCTCACAGTTGGGACATACCAATGGGCAGGGTGCATCTAATCCAGGGGCACCCTGTTCTCCTTTCTCGCCCTTAGGCCCTTTTTTGCCCTTCTTTCCCTTCTCCCCCTGTGGATACAACGATTTGGTCAAGTTAACATCATTTTTTTGAACATTTGGGACAGCACTGCTATTGGGAGGGAATGATTAAAAAGCGGAGGCTATGGCCCACAAAGGAGAAAGACACATGGTCAATGTTAGATAGGAGGGGGATATCAGACAGTATTGGGTATTCTAAAAACATTCCTCAGGACAGGAGGAGGACAAAAAGGGGGAATAATACAGTAGGAGGAGGAGTAAAAAACAGAGCTGATCGCCAAAAGGGGTGTCAAGGGCACGAAGGATGAGAAAGAGTAGCAGGGAAAAAACCTCCAGAAGGACAGAATTAAATCTACGACACACTGAAAACGTTCAAACTGTATCCCTTCATATTTGGGTTAGTCTTATCTCACTCAGTGCATGCATGACAAAATACACAATAAATAAATGTCGGAGGTACCTTCTTTGTTCACAAATGTAATGTCACAGGTACATTCCTAGCCCCTCATGAGATAAAATGTGCAATTGTAATTGTACTTTAAATGGTGTGAATTTGCAGGTATTTGTGGCATATTGTATTGTGTGCATGCATTGTGTTTCAAAACCTCACTCGTACTTGTAGTTAAAGGTGCCATTCTAGTGCCTGTTTAAGCATTTTCTTTGATCATCATTCAAATTCTGTCATCCATAATCTTTCAGTGTTGACAGCTGTTGCTAAATACCTGGAAGAGAAGCACCGCTAAGATCTATTCTGTATTCGAAATACAGAGATTCTCAGAGGATTTGTCTGAAGTAAGTTTATCCTCATGCACCAAGGAATGGGATACAGTTTCTCAAAGACATGAAACATCTAAGAAACACATTATACATGTAAGTAAGTGTGGAAACATACAGATTAGCACTGAAAGAGAGATAAACTACTGTATACACAAGCAAGGGTGAGTTATCAACAAGCTCAAGAACTCGTGGAAGTGAAATGTTTTTGTGTATGTCCATGCATGGAAACAACAGAAATAAAACAAACATGAATTTAAAGAGCCTGTTGTCAATGGACTTGTTCGGTCAGATCACTTTTCTTTGATGCCTCAGAATGAGATTTGACTTGTGATTTTGAGAAATGAGATGGCATACATTCAAAAGTGGAGAACAAAAGCTGAATTGGGAAGATGATATTTTATGCAAAGGAAACTTTACTTTGTACAGAGTTGTTATCCAATTATTTAGTTAAACTTCTGGTTGAATTAATCTCTCAAGAAAGTAGAAATGCTACCAAAAAAAACCATTAAATTAGCATGTTATGTATAATATAAATAGTACAATATAAGAAATTCATTAAGAAGCATATATTCCTTCCAACCACGCTATTCCGCCCAACAACCACATAATCTATGTCAGAGTCTCAGTGAATTTAAAATGAGGAAGAAATTAAACTTATCATACAAAATACCTCTACAGTATATTTCCTTTCACTGTCCATTGACATCAGTCCTCTGTAATGTTAAGGGGTTGACAAGCCATAATATCCTCTCTACATCTACCTTTTCTCCTCTTTCCCCAACGTCGCCTTTCTCTCCCCTTAAGCCTGGCAACCCCTGTAAAAGTACAACTCCACTGAATTACTCTTTACTGTGCAAAGACAAGAGACTTGTCCTGACGAGGCTGAAGATAACACATCAGGGTCAAGCTAAAAAGCTAAAAAAAAAAAAGCAAAAAGAAAAGAAGCTGAGAGAGGGTGAAAAGTAAAATAAATGAGAGACCAAGAGAAGGTGGAGGGATGTGCAACAAGAGGAAATTTAGTCTAAAAGAAAATCTTACTGCTGCTGTATTTAGAGTTTATACATTCTCTATTTAACCAATATGTAGCTGGCTTTTAAATATAGAGAAATGTCATAAAAAATGGAAAAAGCTGTAATTCTTCAGAATCAATTGCAATAACATATTAAAATCGAAGGTCTTTAAGTCCACTATTCCACCATCACTGATTAGTTAGTTAGCACCACATAATATACACAAAGTAAACTCCTATCTGTACTCACACTGAATCAGTTGGATTGTAGAAATAAAAATCATGCCAACTTCAGCTCTACAGAGTGTATTCCTAGGTTACCTTCACCTCTTGGTGCGTATTTGATGACTTATGGGATAGGGCTCTTTCACATAATGGGACTTTTGGGAATATATGTGATACTTGTGGGATGGGGTTTATGTAAAATGATGAATTGAGCTGTTGCAAACAGTGAGTTGTGCATGTTCTCTATGAAACAGTGCTCCACACCTGGTGCTAAATAATTAATACTTACTGAATTTCCCTCCTCATGTTTATGTCACAACTTGCTAAGTTTGTTTTTTACAATAAAATGCATTTTTTCATATATGTCAAAGCAGTTGATTCTAGAGAGTTGGTCCATTGCTTCTATATTTAAAAGCTTTTTAGCCAAGTACCCCTGCAGTATAGTGGAAGCTGCCATTTGATTCGGTATCACATCCTAACGCTGAGAAAGAGAAATCTGAGAAAACTTTCAGAGACTTACATCCAAGCCTGGTGTTCCAGCAGCTCCCTGCAAATAAAGAACAAGAGTTGCATCATAATTTTCACGAACGGTGACGTTTACATGCATCTAACTCTCTCAGTGAAAGCCTGCACAAATATACAGATCATGCCTGGTTCAATAAATGTGGAGAAATGTAAGCAGCTGTTGTTGTTTAACATGATATGAAACATCACATTTTAAGTGTCTGTTTCTCTACAATATATGTGTCATTGTCACCCAGATCAGTTGTAAGCACTGGTCAAACCCACTCCAACCAATAGGAATTTCAGCTTTTAACCCAATTAGCGAGAGCTGAGGACTCAATGTTAGTCATTTGCTTCATTGGTCCAATAGTGAGGTTGAATAAAGATAGTATATATCCTCATCATACTTACAGGCAGTCCATAAGGTCCCCTTGGTCCAGGCTCGCCCTGTGCTCCTTTCTCACCCTAATACAGAAGAATCAGTGTTGCAGTTACATGAATTGTAAAGTACACAGTCACTTTTCAATGAGCCAGCACTAAAACACCTAAAATTAAAGTTCAAATGTATTGTATCATCAGTTAGGTATAAGGTCATAATTTAATGTCTTACTATGTCACCCTTCGGCCCAGCTGGACCAGCTAGACCCGGAGGCCCATCCGTACCCTGCAAACAGCAGCGTGATCATGGTGAGTTTACGTCATTGGACTACAGCAGGTATTTCAAAATAAAGTACATTTTTCAAACAAATAACAGATGGAAAGCAAAACTCATTTTTAGCATCCACATTTGTACAATATTCCCATCTGGTTTGACCTACAACCAGCACACAGAACTGCTGCTAGTACACGTGCATTGGCCACAGAGGACATTTATGACACTGCTGACACAGTTAATGTATGAGTGTGTGTTAATGCTGAGTTAATGCAACACGGGACAAAACGAGAGCCTTGAAATGCCTGACGTAACAGCTTTCTGTATGGTCGCTATCCTCAGAACTAAACTCAGTGTGGCTTAATTAAAGTCATGACACCTAACTAAGACGTAAACATCCAACAAAAGCTTCTAAAACTTCCTTTTCGGTCACAATGAAATACAATATAATCGGCTGATGGTGTTACAGAAGTTGAGGAAAAGGGGGACTGTATGGAGGGTGAGAGGGAAAAAAAGTAGGCAGAAGTTTGGGTGGTGAAGCCTCTTGGTCACATGACACTCACCCTAATTCCGGGCTTGCCGTCCAAGCCGGAGGCTCCCTGTGTGGTTATGGAGGTATGAGTGACATGAACAAGGCGGGATTAGTACCAGATGAACACTGTTATTAGGACAGGTTGATGGCAGGGTTTACAACAACTAAATTACACTGTGTGTTACAGGGAGGTCACAAAAATAGTCAGCCCAGGCAAATGAAAATGGGGACAGAAAATGGAGAAGACCATATAGAGAGAGACACACACACACACACACACACACACACACACACACACACACACACACACACACACACACACAAACACACAAACACACAAACACACACTCAAACGTGTGCACTAATGCACAACAGGAAATCGAACATGGCTAAAATAGAAATGAGAGATTTCTATAGATGTCTGAGGAAATAAAGGAAAGGGCTTTGCAGTTGGAAATATCCCATGGTGCACGGCTGTACTCACGGGGAGCCCCAGTGGTCCGCGGTCCCCTTTGTGTCCTGGTTCCCCTCGCATACCCTTCACACCATGCAGACCAGGTTCTCCCTATAAAAAACAAGGGAAGTAGGTGAGCATGATACAGTTTCTGTACCTGCAATTGCACCTGTGACTCTTTTATTTCATCGATGCTCGTTCCTGTGGTTCATCTTGCTTTACAGTATTGTAATATACATCGTTGTACATCTTTGCAGTCCTGAAATTGCCATCTTCTGTGTCACCAGTAAAAAAGACTAATATCCACTGTGTCTGGACCCTCCCTCCTTATTCCTCAGCTCATGTAGGTTGTTAAACAGCACAGCAGTTTTTTCCAATGGAAAAAATAAAACATTTGCTACAGTAATGGGATTACTATAATGCTACCAGTTTCTACAAGAAATTGTGAAGATGCATCAGTGACAGAACATACAATCTAATACTGTAAGTGGCATGTTTATGACACACTCATCTAGAGCTTGTTCTTTTCTATGATTAATAAATGTTTCACTTTTGTGTGTCAAAGGGTGGATTTTAAAATCATATTACTTGTATATGAAACACATATAATAATGCATTTGAACTGCCTTGTCCTGAATGGTGTCCCATAAACCCCCCCCCACAAAAAAGTTCTGTGAATAACTGTTTATTTTATGTTATCCTACTAGAAATGTAATCATCTTTTGTGTGTCGCATAATGGGACTGCAAACTTTCATTTAATTGTACCTCCTATACATTTCCCTTGACCCTTGATATACATAAACTTGGCCTGCCTTTGGATTTAACTGAGGTATCTGAGGATGCACAAACAAACAAATATTTAATAGGAAGATTTCAACTGTTTATACAGCAACTTTTACAAATTATAATGTGTTTTTAGAAGGACTAAAAATCGCTCATCTTGGTTTAATTACAGTCATAGTGACTGAACGTGCATTATCATATATGTGAAGAGGCTGTACTTTACCTTTGGTCCAGGGAAACCGTGGGGGCCCTGAAAACATGAAAACATCCCAAAACATTAGTTTGTGGCTGGACTCATAATCAACTATCTTTATTTCTTTATTTATTTGTAAATAATGTTTTAAAGAGTTCGGTCTAGACCTGCTCTATTTGAAAAGTGCCCTGAGATAACTTCTGTTATGAATTGGCGCTATACAAATTGAATTGAATTGAATTGAATTTCTTGTTTTATACAACTAAACAATGTTTTTTTTAATCTAATCTGTCCTTTTCCATTTAGTCCAAATCACAGGAAATAAGTTGCTGTTGAAGATGTGAGGATGGGATTGGAGAACGACTTCAGCAAGTATTGCCAAGTACTCAGCCCTGTGTTTTCTTTTTCGTTTTTCCTAGGTGATTCTATACAAACAAAAGCTGCTGTGGAATGACACAGAGGACAAACTGGTATACTGGGGAGCAAATATTGTGCTGAAAGATGCAATCAGAAACTGACGGCACCCGTTTGTTGTCTTCTAGCCTTTAAAGCTTTAAGCTAAGACGTTAAAAGTTAGAAGTTGTTTGAGGTGAGCACGTAAAGGCATGGACTTGTTGGAACATGAACCATAGTGTATATGTTTTGTATGGTTACTATGATTAATTCATCTGTAATCACAATCTTTTCACTCCAGCAACATAAAGAATTGAAACACCTTTGACACATTGTAAAGCTGCTCATTACATTACAATCAGTTATTTAGAGTCAATATTCTGTGAGTATGGTCATGAATGATGTGTATAAAATGTATATTTGCAGATTCATATTATGTGATTAATTAAGTTGTGGGATGTTCTACCATAAGTATAGCATATTGTCCACTGATGAGGCTTTTTAGAGACACTTACCATGGGTCCTGGGGGTCCATGTGGCCCTGGTGGTCCTGGAGTACCGCTGATCTGGAAATATTAAACATATATATTTTATTATTACTAAATAATGGTGATTATACTTTGACTGCATCAACAGCATGAACGTTTGCAATGAACAACAACTTTGAGTATGTTTATGGCAAGTCACAATAAATGTTGAATGTGACTTACTGATGGACCTTGAGGACCAGGTAGACCTGAATCTCCCTTGTCCCCTTTCATCCCATTGACACCCTAAGGAGCAAACAATTTATAAGACATGTTTAGATTCTGTTTGATAAGATGGTTAAAGAGTTTGTGACCATAAATGAAGATTTTACAGAGGCTTCTTAGAAAATTGTAGACTTACAGGTAGCCCAGGTAAACCAGTTGTTCCTTTCTCCCCTGAAGCACCGGGCATTCCCATGTCTCCTTTGGAACCTTTGTAGCCCTGAGAGGGGAGGGCAAAATGTACCCATATTTAACTATGCACTCTGGGGATATTTATAGAGTAATCCTGAGTTAATAGCCTCATCAATATAAAGTGATTTAAAAGGACCACTGAGTTTGATTTATTGGCTTCTAGCAGGGTAGTTGCAGATCACAACTCCCTTTTTTCATCCCCCCTTTCTAAAGGAGAAGGAGAAACTATAGTGGTCGTGAAACGTGTGAAAACCTAGTTATGGATTGTTTATGTATATTTATATCTTCTATTCTTGCCAATAGATCCTCCTAAATGTTACACACTGGACCTTGGACTAAAGGTATTTCTTCTAGATAAACTAGATCAAAATTTAGCTGATCTATACATAAATATATATCATGAACTCACTCTTTCACCATCGAGTCCAGGAAGACCAGGCAAACCACGGTCCCCCTTGGAGAGGAAGAAAAGACATGCCAAAATTTTACATGCATAATAAAACTACAGGTGTTTCCGGTTTTATTTTGCTATGGGACAGTAGTATATGATGATTTTTTTAGATATAAGAAAGAGGTTACAGTTAACATGAGATGTGCACATGTAAGGAAACACTCAATATTGTAGATGGGATGGAAAAAAGTGTAGAAAATAGAGTTTACCTTTAAACCTTGCGGTCCCATTGGCCCAGTAGGTCCAGGAGGACCCTGAACACAAAGACAGACACAGGAGTAGATTTGATTACACTCCTACTTTACTGAGGATATATACTTTTTATTGGGTTTGATCAATTCAATATACATTTCATAATTAATGGAGCTGATCATCACAATGAAATGACTTGCAAACAGCACAAAAAATGTTAGCAATCAGTTATGAACTATGATGCTCAACTGAAAGACACATGCTAAAGTCAAAATTATGTTAGCTAGAAAATATGGATAAATAATTATCATAAATAAAAGAGAGATTCAAAAGTAAGTTCAGTATAAGTGACACTAAACATGCTAATTCTCTTCCCAATTTGAACAATTTCTATTATTTCAAATGTGTGCATTTCTTTTAAAATGGACAATAAATGATGTACTTAGCTCACATAGCTTATATACTTAGAATTAAACACTACAATTATGTGAGAATGTGTGATAAACATGCAAATTTCCTGCAAGGCTATCAAACATAACCCAGATAAAGCTGAGTTTTAGTAACAAAGATGAAGAAGAGGATTTCAGTTTCATGTGTGATGCTAAACACGCTAAATCCCTTCAAGGCTTACCAACATAATACATTTCACAGAGTCTCCACTGTGTTTTCCAAAACTCAGTCAAGTGTGATTCATTTTTATTTCAATATTTGAATAGAAAAAAAAAAAATTTACATACTTAGATTATATAGTTACATTTAATACTTGGCTGGAAAATCTGTGATCAGTATCATTATCACCTATCATGGAATACTACCTGGCTCCAGATTTGCTGTGTGGAAACTTGATTACAATTAATTGAACCCAACGATTTTGAAATATGCATTATATAAGTAAAATACTGAAACAATGAGGGTCTTAAAACTACAACTTCGAACACAGACCCTCTTTAAGACAAGGTCTGAAGCACATTTTAAGCTCTTATCATATAAGCCAATATTAAATTTGATGCAGTTTCAATTCAGTTAACACAAACCATGGCCTTGGAGTTCTGGAGCCATTGCTCGCTTTGCCTGCTTGGCAATCTAGCCTCAACTATAATCATGATTGTTCTATGTACTTTGATGATGATTTTGACCAAAAATGGACTGAAGTGAGGTTATTTTAAGAGGATGCTTTACTGACATTCAGATAGATAACCAGCAACTCAGGCAGCTCATAGCACTGATCACAGAGAAGCATATATGTAGCACTGAGTACTGATTCATTCGCTGTTAAAACAAACATGTTGCTGGGTGAGGGAGCGACAAATACAACAAAGCAGTGCAAACCAAGGTGGGAACTGGGTTGGGCCCATGCGAGGACAAAGATGAATTACTTGTGGAGATGACACAATGCACAGAATACACAGAGCCTAATTACCGTTACTGTAATAGTGGTAATCTTCTGCAGTAGGCCAAAGGAGTGGAAAGTGGAGAAGAGATAAGATTGCAGAGGTCATACAGGAAAGAAACCTTTTGTGTCAGCACATTTCTGTACAGATACACCCTCAAAATTAGTTATATGTTAAAGAACAGATGTTAGCCTTTATTATCTGTAGAGGACATACCCTGAAAAGATTGTTAAATTTGAAGGCATTGCACTAACTTAAGGAATACACTTTCATTTACGACTGTAACTCAGCAGAAACAGAGGTTGCATGTGCAATTTGCAACGTGATACAAATCTTGTGAAAAAACCTTTTCGTATTGTGACAACGACGTAGCAAATAAAATTAATCCAATTACTGATTATGTATTTATAAGTAACCAAAGTGATGTGTTTCACTGTGCCATCTTATCTTGCAGATGCAGGTCTTTTTGAAGCAACAAGAAGAAGAGTTGTGTAAGAATACAACAAGAATATGAGTTAAGTTATGACTTGTCTGACCTGTAGAGCCTCCTGGATGTTTCCATTGTAGTCGATGATTTCAGTGGCTCCTTGGTCTCCTTTCTGTCCAGGAGGGCCCTGCGCATGATCGACATTCAGAAACACATTTAAAAACGTTCTTTCATACTGCACACCTGATTTATACAAACCATCAGAGTAATATGTAAGAGTAATATCAGTGTGCCTCTTTTCCAAAAACTGCTATGGTCTGACTGCTGCCCCCTGGTGGTAATCTATGTGTGGTTTCACTAACAGTAAGTGTGCAGTGTAGCATGTCAAAGGAAATTAAAGTTTTGAAGGTTTCAGTGTGCAGCATCATGGCATGATTGGAAATGGGGGAGAACAGAGGCATTTATCTTCTTTAATGTACTTTCTTACCCTTGGGCCAATAGATCCCAAGTCTCCTTTATCTCCAGTCTCCCCCTAATGTGAGAAGACAAACAAAAATGATCAAAGACTTGCCTAAAAATGATGGAATATGGACTGTATCAAATATACATCGCTATTATGGTGAAAGAAGTCCTAGTCCTAGTTCTTGTATTTTGTATGAAAACATAGTATAACACATACTACTAGTGTATGTGACTTTTTATTATTAAGTGTTATTTTACAACAACATTTTCTGACAAACTGTAATGTGCTTAATGTAAGACATTTCCACAAGTACAACAGTAGTGTCTAAGAAAACAGTGAATCTAATCTAAGATCTGGATCACCTGCAGAATATAATTAGAGGATAAACTAATTAAGACGCTGTGTTTACCAAACTTTAAGAAAACATAGCAGCCACGCTCACCTTTGACCCTTTAGTACCAGGTGTACCAGACTCTCCTTGGGAACCCTGCCATGAGTTAAAAAGAAAAAAAAAAAACAGATGAGGAAAAGAGTCATGATATGAGGGACATTATAAAAAAAATAAAAGCTAAGTACCTACGATATAAACATGACATTTAAAATAATAAAACAAACTCTCTTTATGGATTCAATCCAAATTCATCATAAAATATTCAATGCATTTAAAATGCATATTTCACAAAGGAAATATTATCAACCTTCCGTACTTCTCCCGGGAGAGCAAGTCCACTTAAATAACCAGCTTTTAATATGCCATAACTGCCACGCACAGGGGAAAGTGTTTATTTGAACTCTGGCATTGATGGGTTTCACTTTGGGGTTTCTAATGGGATGTGAAACAGATCTGTGGGTCATCTAAGTTTAGACTGGAGCTTAAGCTACCTGCTGGGTCAGTGCCAGACATAAACAATGGTAAACTCATTTATATTTAGTTTACGTTATGCAGACTCCAGGGAAAGCCTTGCACTTATTACAAAGCTATAATGGTTAAGCCAGCTATCATTGAATATGAATTCAATGAACTTTGGGAATGCACTTTTTCTTTTTTTAAACTCTGGGAATTTTATTGTGCGTAATTAAATTAGCGAGGCTCTAGATGGCAGCAAAAATCTATGAATTACATGGGTGAAAAGACAGTTTGAAGAAGTAGTAACTCACAGATATACTACTGAATGATCCAGTTTGTCTAATTCATGCCATTTATCTGTGCAAACATGCACTTAAATAACTGACCTTTGGTCCAAGGGGTCCAATTTCTCCTCTTTCGCCCTTTCCTGGTGGTCCGTGGTCACCTCTCTCACCCTATACAGACAAAAGAACGAACAGCTCAACAACAAAGGTAAGTTACTGCTGTTCTGCAACCTGTGTTTAATAAATGTCACACAGAACTGCTGAACACGGCTCAGTTTCTAACTTTTTATTGTCAGCGGAAGAGCTGTGACATATCTTCTGAACATCAGGCATGAACGTCAGTTTCCTTAATGTCATGCTGACATGACTGAGGAATCTACTATAAGAGTCCCCCGCCCTTCTCGTGAGGTTGCTTGCTCAACAGACCGATGGTAAATGTTTATGCTGAGTCAGCACAATCTGCTTTCATGGTAGATTGTGACCCTCTACAAGGTCGAAATGTTATTTTTAAGAGAAGCCCAAAAGATGCTTCTGCATCCAGCCTTCTTTGTCCTTAAGATGAATATTTAAAGACAAATGTAAATCCTTTGTTGTATGGTAGTGGGTATTTTCTGAAGTGACTTAAGAAAGCCAATAGAGGGGGGTGTGGTATTACTCTCTCTATTACTTATTACTGATACTTAAAACCAAGAGAGACACAACCATTTATTCAGCAGCGTTAAGTCAATTAGGCTTTGGTTTTTCTTCAAATAACCGCTTACTGATGATAAGTTAATGGAGACAGACTTGAAAATAAACCTACAGAGTCTTTGTTTGAGAGGTGTTTTAAAAATACTTGAGCAGTATGCCCTGAAAAATCCGGTTAAACCGCCAGTTGTCTCAAACCTGTGAGCAGATCACTGAACACAAGGAAAAAGAATCAGATAAACAACTTGCTGCAATTCTCCTCCTTTTCTGCTATACCCTGACATTGGATTAAGCAAAGGAAGTATACCAGAGCACAATGCGAGAGTAATATATCCTGATTATCAATGCACTGCAAACAGCCTGATGCAAAAGGACAATGCGAACATTAATTCTAGTGTGTCTGGATTATCACTGCTGGTTCCATGGTGTGATAATGTCACGACTCAAAGGGAGCGGCGAGGATTAGCTCATTCTGACCACTTCCAAGTGACATTTCGAAGAAACAGAGGCTTAATCACCTTGGTAAAGTGATAATAATGCATAACGAGACTATAAACCCAGAGGAATTACTGAATTCAATGATTACTATAACAGGATGTGATAAAAATCTGTCAAAGCTGTCGCAACTCATCGTCATTGACGTGAAATATGTGTCACTGAGCAGAAAATACCTCTCATATTGTGACAAACAAGACTGCTGTGGAAAGCTCAAGTCAACCCACCTTAGTTCCTGGGAGTCCTGGAAGCCCTGGTTCTCCCTGGGGACCGAGGAATCCAGGCTCACCCTGAAAAATAATCAGCAAATATTACTAATTTTTCCACAGTGCATTTCTGGTGAAGCACTACCTCCACCCCGCAGCTAATGAGCGCTAAACATGTACACAAGATGCATGGCCAAACATATTCAAAACGACAGGCATGCACTTACTGCTCGCGCACTTTTCACACGCACACAAACACACACACACTCAGGGACGTGCATAAATCACAGACACACACACACACACACACACACACACACACACACACACACACACACACACACACACACACACACACAGACACACGGTTATAAATTATGGCTTGTTAATTTATCCCCTGGTTTCACATCCATTAATGACTCCCTCTTATGAGCCTTAATATACGTTATGACTGACCTTGTTAGAAACTCATCAGGGCACACAGAAGTGTTCTGAGTAAGTGTGTGCAAAAACCAGGTTCTCTGCCACTTATGAAGAAGCTTTAACATTTTTTTTTGCATTTGCACTTATTACGTATTAGGAGTGAGCTTCCAGTATGAGGTGTGAAGCTTGATTTGATTTACATTAAATTTGATTGTGAAATAACTTAATTGGAATATATTTCTTCACCATCTGCAACCAGACTTCCCACCTATAGTAGTTTAGGCTCTGTGGAAGCCTTTGGAGAGGTAATGGACACTCAAACTTTGATTGGATAAACAGCAAGAATGTAGAGCAGAACAAAGTGCAAGCTGAGCTCAGAGCCCGCGAGTGCTACGTTCGCAAAATATTGTTAGAATCCATCAAGCATTCAGGCCTCTTAAGTAAAAACAGGAGTATATAAAATGTAAAATGAAAGGGCTTTTTACAAGGCCAGCACATTACAAGCACACAAAGGGAGAAAAACAAAAACCAAAGCAGAAACAAGCATCATCTCATCATGCCCGCGTGAGCATTCCTTGCATTCACATGTTATATTTCAAGCTAATGATCCTGAGATACATTGAGGTGGTTGTTATTCTTCAAGCATAAGATGGCAGTGAATCATTATGAGCTTTTTGTGCATTAAGTTCACCATCTGCTGTTTGTCTTTTTATGATACAGTAAAAAAAAATAATAAAGCAAGCAGCTTGGTTAAAATAATGAAAGCCTAGTTAAAAAAACTCAAAATAATCAAATAGAAATCAAACTTCCTCTCCTTAACAAGCAGTAGTTTTGACACATTTTGCACTGAGTCTCTTGATGCCACGTCCAGGAAGCAGACTGAAGTTGTTGCCAGGGATGTAGCGTTCCAATCATTAATTCATAGACCTCTACACTATTCACAAACCTTAATGAGACAGTTTTCGTGCTGACTTCTGGCATGTTCAGATCAAAAGCATCGACTATTTGGTCTTGTCAGTTTGCCTGATCTCCATACTTTTCATTGTGCAGGTATAACTGTGCCTCTGCCACTCAAGCAGATGGAAGTCCCACACAGCAGAGAGCAAGATTGTGAGAGCTCAAAGCGTCACACGAGGCATGACGATGGGTCAGTATTGCTCTGAACTCTTGCTACAGACGGGCTGAAGGGGATGGACAGGGACAACACCGGGGGGAATGACTGGGGACAAAAACAGCGAATCATTTACCTTTATCCCTGGGAGTCCAGGCAGCCCTGGAAGTCCTGGCTCTCCCTACACAGGAAGAGTGTGACATGTTACAGCCAAGCCAAGCTAAGCTGAGTCAAGCCTCATTCGTAGGCACTTTGGGGTTCTATTAGCTCTACACTTTATTTCCTATTTGTGTTTTCTCTGGCTATCAAACTGTAATTCTGAAAAGTGGCCTGCTGTCCTTAAGTGTATGTTGACTGTCATTTGCTTGCGGTAAGCACTAGCAGAAGGTACTGCACATGCACTTTCAAACCAACTCATGCAGCCATGGCTTGACAGCGTGATTAGTGCTTGTTATAACACTCAACCCTTCACAGAGTGCAACAGAGTTTTATTTTTTATGATTTTATTGGTTTGGGCAGGTGTGAAAAGTTCTGGTTTCTGGAAGGAAAAACTGTCAGATACTTTGGATTAAAGTTGCAAAAGCTGTTCGAGAGAGCTGCCGTGGCGTCAAGGTCGTTAGAGTTTGGCAGTGCTGGAAGTCGAGAGCTGGCCTATTTCTCCGTTACCAAGGTCGGGTCATTGTCAAGTTGAGAACTCCAGACTCCCATTACATGCAAGTTTGAGTAACGCGCAGCCATTTGATTCAACGGTGGAAAAATCAGAGGTCGAGTCCCTTGTGACGCCTCTGCAAGACTTTGCAAACAAAATTTCTGACTCTGGATAATTTAACGCTCTATTAAGACCATTGTATTTATGGCATATGAAAAGAAATGATTAGCACCGCATGAGAATGATCAACTGTAATGGCACTCGGGGGATCAGGGAGAGGGCTGTAAATTTCCATTGTGGCTAATGAAAGCATTGTAAAACTAATGAATAAAAGTCTTTCTTGTGGACTACTACTTCACCAACATTGGATTTCCATCCAATGGTAACATTTAATTGAGAGCAACGACTCAATCTCGCGATCAGCATTTCGATGAGAAATACGACGTGTAAGTGTGTCAGCATAAGCAGAATGGCTGTAAAATGAGAGATAAGATAAAGCAGTCAAAAAACGTGTTAGGCCACAAGTGTTTTCTTTGCAGTGAGAGCAGGGAAAAAAAAGAAAAAAAAGACATTTGCTTAAAGCCCTTCTGTCTGTCGGTCTGGAATCAGTTTGTCCACAAAGGGAACAGAGAGTTGAAATTAATGGGGTGCAGCACTTGGGATTAAAAAGTGTAATTAGATGGAGCACTGGTGCAATCTCGGCAGCAGTCTGGTAAAGGGACAAGTAATGGTTTTTATTTTGCAGGAAAATAGCTCCTCTTCTGCCACATGCTTGTTTTATTAGTTTCTAATTAGCAACTGTTTCTTTAGCAATATTATTACGTTTCCTTTGTTGGCTTGGAAAGTGTGTCAAACACTAGAATAAAATCTGGCTGGGAGAGAGAGGTCACACAGTACCAAGAAACATTTCTCAAACAACACAAACTTGTCTAGTTGGACTGATGCAAAGCAAAGTAATGGGATGACCTGCTGGTTTTAAACTCTGACAAGTAGAGGTAACAATAAAATGAAAAAAAAAAAAATCCAAAAGATTTAATATATCCAGGGGTGTTCATAAGATACCTGGGACCTTACACTGGCTCAAAACAAGTATCAAGCCAAAGTAAATGAAAAATGAGTTGGAGCAGTGTCACGTGTCAGGTTCTGTTCGGTGAGCCCCCTCCTCCATGTACAACCATCCTTATTACACTTTAAACAGTGAGGTTCAGCTGAGTTAGGAATGCTCTCATACAGACTTTTCTATCTTGCACAACAGACCAGAGCTTAGATGTGGGTATTCATGATGATGAAAAATAAAGCAATATGTTCAGCCAGTCCAATGTGTTACTCTCATAGTCACTTATCAATACTGAAATCATTATTAACATTAACAAACATCATATATCCAACTAAATGTAGCTGTAGTTGGGCCATATGATCAACACTGTTCTACTGTCACTGCTACACCTATCTCTGTTTATGTAGTACTACTATCTACTGTGTATGGAAGAGAAATGTGTAGCAAAGTGCAGTTATTACCTTTAGTCCACTTCGTCCAGGCTCTCCAGGTTCACCCTGTAATATAGCAGCTTGCTTAACAGTTACACCTGGAAGCTTCTTGTTATAAGAATTGTTGTCATAAGATAAATAAATATTAAATAACAGCTTCTCGCTATGTAACAACAAGTTAGTTTGTGTGGTGAAAACCTTTGTAATTTAGTGACACATATATCACCACTGCAACAGACTCCCAAAGAGGATCCAGCATTTTAGCATTAGCTTAGCTCTTACCTTGATGCCTGCTGCAGAGGAGCCTGCATCTCCCTAAGAAAAAGGTAAAAACAAAACCACAACAAATGTTGGAGAGGTACAACATGGAAAACTTTCCAAAAAGTGACAGAGGTAATTACGAGACTTGATGGGGGCTTTTCTGTCACGTCACAACAGGAACAGACACGACAATTACAGTGACAAAAGAAGCCTATTTTTACTAAACAATGCAGAACAAAACAGAACACAACTTCTGATGGACAGAATTGGGTGAAAATCCAATTAGAAAGAAGATTGTCTGCTATTCTAAACTGTGCTGAGATTGAATGTACCTTCTCACTAAAGTTTGAGCAGCATTTTGTTTTATATAACCACAGTGCTGGGGACCATTTCATTGTTTTCACACTGTCAGAGTGCAGCTGCATACTGGTGATGACATGAAATCTAACACTATATGGAAAAAAATGCACAACCGTGGAGGTATGGTGCTTGACAGATATACTGTACTAACGGTGACCATTTAAGCCATTTTTTTCACTGCATCTCTTCAGGTAGGGTATTGAACAATAAAGAGACAGAGCCACTTATATCATATTTTTCCAGAAGAGTCATCCAGACATCCAGAATCCACGTCCTTTCCTATGCAGTGCATTACTTCTGCTTTGTACAGTAAAAACATACATAAAACAAGGGGCCAATAAGCGTAATTATGGGCGGTTGGTGGGAAAAAGGGAGCGGGGAGAAGGAGACTGGGTCTTTAGCTCTGGTGTGGACTCTGTGGTTTCCGTACACATACGCCTTGCACTCAGAAGTTGCTGAAGGAATGCCTCTCGCCCTCAACTTTTTATGGGACTCATTACGATGCATAGCACACAAGGCAATGTTTAATTGCGGCAATTTTTTTTGCAGACAATAAACTGTGTTACTGTTTACAGCTGGGCTTTGTTGCATACCAAAGGGTGCCTCTCTCTCCCTATCTTAAAACGTGTAATTCAAATTTTTATATGAGTACTTTCTTACTATATATTTTATTGAGGGTACAGAAGATCTAAGAGGATGAACTTTTTACAGTTGGCTGTGTAAACGGGCTCCTCGTATTACATTAGAGAAGACAAATGAACGGCTTTAACGTGATTTTAAAAGATGGAGTGAAAATGTTTTTGGTCACATACTTAAGAAACAACATGGATGTCATGTTGTGGTTGACCTAAAAATTATAATAAAAAATGATTTTTTTATACAGAGGCCAATTAATCTGACTTTTTGTGTCTTGATTGAATAATTGTTTCAACAAAACAAACATCAAAGTCAGAGCTGGTTTACACCTGTTGCTTTTTGGCAGGGACGGTGCCTCACATCTGCGCTTAATTGTTACATCTTATATATAAAAAAAAAAGAAACTACCAATGATTTCAACTTGTTGAACTCATAATCAACCAAAGGACTAAAGGTAAGAATAATTCATGTTTTTCCCATATTATTGTCAGCAGAACGAGAACATCGGGAGCTAATATTGCGAGAAATAAGAATTTAAAGCACAGTTCACACACTTGGAATCAAAAAGCCACTGTGACCCATGTGAAAACAAGTATCAGAGGATGCTATACCAGCAATTAACACTTCAAGCCCCTGCTGCTGAACTGATAAATCCCACTGACGTTTTCTGTCATGACAGATCTAGCACAAGTGACACCAAGCCCAAGAACCGAGTGAGAGTTTTCACAAGTTTAATCTATTCCAAATGAAGTACTATGAGATGGAAAAAGTGGTGGAGTTGGGAGGTGAGCTGAGGTGTGGCACAGAGTGCTGAAATGTCCCAATTGGGCCAATTACCATGGTGAGGCTACAGCCTGTGATTTAACCACAGAGCAGAGCAAGGACGGAGAGCTGTCACCACAGCTCCACTTCATTATAGGCACCCAGAACTGTCGCTGCATATTGCCATTTAAAGATAATAGCATGGAGATCTCATAATGTATACTTAGTAAATCAGGCCATTTTCCAGCTGTTTGCTTAGTGAGAGCGAATGAGATGGAGAGGATTAATCAGCGAGCAATGAAGCCGAGACAGAGTTGTGACAAATGTAACCATTAAATGTCACCACAGCCCTCAAAACATGACTCCTACTTCACATTATGGTCATTAGTAAAGATGACCAAATTCAGCGGCCTCAGCTGAATATCGACCTCAGTCACAGAGTTAGAATATATGGAGGCAGCACAGATTATGATTGGCTCCCAGGGCAGAAAAAGCCCTGCCAACAGTTGAAACGCGGCCAGTTCACAAGAGCTTGGACCGGATCTTAGGATTCAAAAATTATACCAACCACTGTGCCACACCGGCCAGAGCCAAGCGCTCACAGTCTGGAAGTTCCCAAAACAAATTCCAGAGTTTACTTGGGTTTATTATTCTTTTTTCAACCTTTTCCTATCTCTGAGGTTCGACTTTTTCAACAAGAAGAGTCACAGTTAATTTCACAGCTAGTTAAATACTTAGGCAGAATGCATCAGAAGTAAATGGTTTAGAACTAAAGCTTTTAACTGTGGTAATGATTGGTTTTAAATGAGGCCAGGGATGGACGTGCAGAGGCTATTGGAAACATTTCTCTTCACAGTTAATGATGGCTTATGAAAGCAACACAGCAGGTAATGTCTTACATAAATGTACACTGTAAAGAGTGGTGGGAAGTAATAAAGTACATTTACTCCAATACTGTTTTCCTTGTCAGCTACGTGTCATTTGCTGATTTATACTTCTCTACATGTTTTGGTCGTTAAAATTATTGGGAACATTGCAGAACAAGATTGTACATCCAGAATGCGTGATTATCTTAGAAAATATAATGCATAATTATAATATGTTGTTGTTTGAGGCAGTTTGATTAAACCCAACTTTATTTAGGAATATGCACCATGTGAGCACAAACTAAATTAGCTGTGAGCACTTTACTAAAATTAAATGTTAATTGTTGTTTCCCACAGGACTCAGGTCAACAAAGATAAAAAATGCAGGGCCTCGGTTTATATTATACTTTAATTGTGAAAACTTTTATGCATCTCCAAAGCTTACTAATTAACACATTATAGCTTATTTGTTTAACATGTACAAAAATTGAATTCTAAAAAATGACAATTGGTGCAGTTTTCCTGGTGACTATCTGCTGGATATTGCCGGGCAACCATTTGAGACTCCAGGAAGTTATTGGTCCTGGCCAAGAAATAGTTGGGCACATAATCACCCATAAAATGGCAACAGAGTCTTTATTACTATGAGTAATGCTCATGATAGCATCAATCTTCTTAGCAAACTCTTGGCAAGAAAGCAAATAAGCTTTTTTCTCAAAATGTCAATCTACTCTTTTAAACCAGTTGACAGACAGTGAACCCAGGGCTGCCTCACAGATATATAAGTACAAAGTAGTAACATCATTTAATAATGACTTTTCATACATAACAGCAACAAGGAACTCTTTTTTGTAGATTCTGGCAGCTCTTGTGGACAAAAGCAGTAGCGTTCCCAACACTTCGTTTCATTGATACCAAGGGGAATCCAACCGAATCCGGCCCGGAGGCAGCCCCTAAGAATAACTATATAAAATTAGCCAATCTTCTCACTGATGGTCTGCTTATGTACGATTTTATAGAGGCATCAGTATTAAACTGTTTCATAACCAGCTAAAAACTCCTTGTAGTAGGTTTAAGTAGTCTCTTTCACACTCCACAGATCCCCCGCCGTCAAAACAATCTTCCTTTGTATCACGCAAAAGCCCGGCCATTTCTCTCCCCCTCTAGTCTGCGCTCCCTGAGGTCTCTCTGCTCACCATTCCGAAGCTTTCGCTGCCTCACCTCTCACCCCGCGGTACCACATTTTCCCTGCGGTGCGTGCTGTGTATTGTTAACTTCGGCATCTTCAGTATGGAAGACTAAAGATGTTCTCCCCTCCCCTCCTCTGTCCCATCTACCAGTGAAACAATGATATCAGGGAAGAGCAATGGATCAGACACACAGCTCCGATGACAGGAGGCTCAGAGTGGATGTACTGTATGTGAGCATGCATAAGACTTTTTTTTTTTTTCACTAAAACAATCTCTGAAAAATCAATCAGTGTTTGGTGCGTCTGACACATGTTAAACCCATGTGGATGTTATATCTTGACTGAGAAACAATTATTCCAGCCATATGTGCACTATGTTAAAAAATGCTTTTACATCCTGACATTGACAATCTGACAAGATGAGGTAATCCTATCCATACTAATGAAAAAATCCTCCCTATTTCCAGGTTACACTCCCTTCTGTCTCTTTTTATTGTGAAAAACACGAATAGGCTCTTGAAGAATGAATGGCAGGTGACTGGCTACAGAAGTCACAATTCCCATAGCGCTCGATTTCACTTTTTCTTTTTGACTCCTGCGGCCAAAATCTTTTCCCCCCCACTTTTACTGCATTAAGGTAGACGAGATCAAAGCGGTGCTTGAGCTGCAAAGTTTTATCGCCCTCCACTTTCCTTTTTGTTCACTTATTTTCCACAGATGATATCCTGCATCTGTTTCCCTCAAACGGTGTCTTTTTTGGCAGCCGTGTTCGGCAGTCTTTTAAAAACCAGAGTACCCATAAAGTGAGAAGTTATCAAAGTTGTTCTCTGCTGAACAGCAATAAATTGGCAGTGACAGTTTGAGTACACTGCTTCTACTCCGATGCTAGTCTATCAGTTATGTTTTGTTTTCATACCTAATTCAGTGTTTCAAGCGAAAAGCAGTGTCAATAGTGTATTTGAAAAATCACAGTATTTTGTGTCTGCTGTCTGTTCTTAGCAATTGTGTTACCATTTTGGCAACTTTGGGAAGAATCTTTATCTTTTCCCAGAAGTGAGCAATTCCAAATCAGCACTGGCTGATGTAAAGCTGAATCGACGTTTTTCAAAGCACTGTTTATTCCAATCCATAATTGTTTTGTTTCTGAAATTCTTTAAAAGTTTGAAGTGTAAACAGGCCCAAACTTTGTCATGAGGTCACCCAATACAAATACGGCTGTGACCTATTTTCATAAATGCTCCTTTAACAAAATAATAATGGCAAAAGCAACGTGAAGTCCTGGATAGGATGCATGATCTGCCTCTGGACATGATGTCTGTATACTAATTCAAAACAAAAAACTTTTCCAGAAAACAAAAGCTTTTTGGATAGAAACATGAATCTATTAGTTTAGCTCTGAACAATCTGTCCAGCAGAGCTCCACTCTGCCTTTTGTTGGAAATGGATCCCAACTTGACAAGCTGTCTTGATGATAAATGGTCCCAAATTAATGCAGGAACCATCCAACCAGAAAATGTAGCGTCAGCATAGCATAGCAATTAAGTCCACATTAAACACAAAGGATGCATCAAGTGCCAGGATGATTGCTGTTGTGCAGCCTTGACTACAGCTGATGGCACTTGACCTCAGTATCTTCTGCTGCTCTCCAAAGATCTCCTCTCAGATGGCTAACATTAACAGTTTTTTTTTTTAATGTTTTCCGGCCACAACCAAACCCCGCCGTTTCTCTGTGCAAGTTCCAAGAGAATGAAAGATAAAGCTGAATTTACATACCTTCTCTCCAATTTCACCTTTCGGTCCGTCTTCACCCATATCGCCCTGTGATGAAATCAAACATAGGTAATCGGTTTATTGATCGCAAGAAATGTCAAAAAAAGAAAACTATCTTAAACAAGATTGCCAGATTGTTTAAACACACATAACACAAAGTGATTGACTGCCCTGTAAACTGTGTAATGGATGCTTGGAGAAAAAGCAAAGCACACTGTAACAAAGATGAAGTACCATTACTGTACATGTTAAATCCACTTTGGTCACTAACTGAGTCATCACACATGGTTCAAATACTGACTGACTCCATGTGACGTAATGCACTCTGTGGGGCATTGTGGAAGTCCTGGCATCAACTATGAAGAACTTCACTTCTAAATTCCCCATCTTTCCATCTTAGCAGTGTGAAACAGTGAATGTCAGTGCTGTTTCTAGCCATGCTTGTGGTGGATAGTAATGCTGGTTGGCTGGACGGTCTACCCCTTGATATCTAAATATTATAAAAAATAATATATAAATGTATCAATAAATGGATGGATTGCCATGAAATGTGGTACAGACAATACTGTCCACTTCATAAATTCAACATTGGTGACCCTTTATTTTTTCCTCTAGAACCATCATCAGTCCAATATTGTTTATTTAGTTTCTTTAATCTATGGCCAAATAACTGCAAAGCTAAAGCCATTCTGGCCAGCTGTACTTTGTTTTTAGTTCTAACTAGCAAATGTTGAAATGCTAACACACTTAGCTAAGATGGTGAAATGGTAAACATTATACCTGCTTACCATCCGCATGTCAGCATTGAACATATTAGCATGCTGACATTAGCATGTAGCTCAAAGCACCACTGTGCATAATATAGCCTCACAGAGCCTGTAGAGTTGTAGACTCTTGTTGACAGATTCCTTATGATTGCTATGAATCCAGCTGATTTTACATCAAGAACATTATAGCCTAATATGTTTCCAATGTGATATATATATATATAGCAAACACAAGGATTTCAAATAAAGGGTTGCGTCCTTGTAGGGGGATCTTCATGATGTCAGAACTTCAAGAAAATAAGCTATACTGTAATCGGCTCTGTGCCTCTCAAACAATAATTTATTTTCCTGTTAGAGGCTAGCATTGTTTTTCTTGCCTGCTGGCTCTTTAGTCAGCAACTAGAGCCAAAAACAACAATTTATGTTAACATGGCTCCTCTCAAAATAAAAAAGTACTTTGGAGTGATTTTCAGTGATGTCTTTGGCAGGGAGGTCATCATTTCACTTTTGATAAATCCACATTATTTTAAATTAAGTAAATGATAGCCTAATATATTGTGAATCATGCAGTAAATAGCAATTCCAAGGATTTGAAATCAAAGGTTGTGTCCTTGTGGAGACTATTAAAAAGGAACTTGGTATCCGAGGCACTATGCTTGACATAAGGCACCCATCTGTTCCAATGGACTGTGATTAGTAAGAACTTAAAATGACTACTAGCATTGAGTCAGGATTTAAAAACTTGGTTTCCTGAATTTGCCTGCTGGCCAGAAAACAGCAGTTTGTCAACAGATCTGGCTCCTCTTAACATAAAAACCTTTTATACATATCAAACAGAAATTGTTTATTTTGTCTGCCTCTTCTCTAATATTTGCTTTTTTAACATTGTGCATATAAAAACTCTGAACAATAACTCTTTGTGACTGCTCATAACTCATAAACATGCAACCTGTGACAAGGCCCAGGGGTAATGACGTAGCTGTTTTAAGCCAAAATCTTTGGGATCGTCTTCAGAGGCCAGCACACACCGATCCACCTTGTCAGACCATTCAGTTCTAACTTTCCTCAACACACACCAAAACCATCTGATTCAGTTTCTATTGAGCTATTATTTGTACCCAGTTAATTCTCCATAGGACAGCGATGATGCTGCGGGCACTGGTTGCTAGGAGATTGGCTATGTGCCCGCACAGCCTTATTATTACAGTGAGTCAGGTGTGTTAGATGTAGGGAATAAGTCTCTGATTTGAAGAAAAACTCAGACCAACTGAGAACAACAGCCTGATAGCCAGTTTTGTGGTCGATGAAGAACAATGAGTCATCACTTCCCTCCCCAGCCTGTCTCTGTCTCAACTCGGTCAGTGTTCACACCTCCCACCCGCTGCTGTCCAACAGCAGAGAATAAAGACACCATTAGAATTAGGGAATGGAGAGAATAAGGCTTTTTCCTCACTGAGGCTGCAGTGTGGGTTCAGTTTTTTGGTCTCCTCCAAGGCCTTCTTGGAGAAATTGGGTTCAATTTTGTGACTCACTGACTCACTGATGGCCAAATCTCAGAAGGGAGTCACCTTTGAAAACACAAGCTGGAGTTGTGTGAAGTAAAAGCAGAGCTGCCGTCATTTTTATCACAACGGCTGTTCTAACATATCAAGACTGATGCTAACAATAATGTTTGGTGATCTGAATTAGCACTTTACCTTTTCACCTCGCTCTCCCATTTCACCCTGTTGGGAAAGAAAGCAGAGTATTAAAGACAGAAAAGCTCAGGGGGAGTTGGGTTCAGTTTGGGAATTATTGCAGCCACTAAAGGTTAGATTGTATCTGGGGTTAAATTCATGTTAGATTATCGAAAGCCTCTTGTGTTATGACTGCTTTTCCCCCCAGACAGAACCTTAACTATCGGCTTTTTGAAGCGTTTTTTAAAAATTGCACAGTGATTACTGAAAGTTGTCAAAATTAACAGGCCAGAATCCTACTTACAAGGTTATTTCACCACACTTTCAAAAAACTTAAAGCTATATGTCGGTACAACTATCACGTTTAATTACACATATGGATATCTGCTATGAAGGTGACATGTTCTTATTGATATTGTGGCAAAAACGGATCATGTGGACATGATATCTAACAAAGATGAATTAAAATATATCCACATATGTATGTTTTCTAAAGAATGAGAAACAAAATGTAAATAAACTAAGTATATTGAAAGATATGGATTAAAAAGGGTCATAAACATGATTAAAAGCCCCAAAAAGTTTAATGTTTCTCAAATGGATAGGGATGAAAAATTATATATGACTTCAAAACAATAAAAAAAAGATATGATCGCAATGAATTTACAAGAATAAGAGCACACAGAATGTGTGTCCACCAGACCTTGGCTCCAGGAACACCGTCCAATCCTGGGATGCCAACATCCCCCTATGGACAGCACAACATACACACAGTGGCTGTATTCAGTGTGCTGATTCAGCAACGTGAACTCTGATTTCAGGTCAGAAGATACAAAAAGCTTCACATTTTCATTAGAGATAAGCTCTGACATTAACAGAGGTTAAGTTTGGTCGTCGCTGCACAGGTGTTATGTATTTGCAGGATGGTTGATAATGGAGCAGTAGATAGGATAGATAGTGTATTTTACTATATTGCAATCAACGGACCCTAAATGTGTTCATTTGCTGCTACAAATGAATAAATTCCATACAATTCAACAAAAAGATCAAAAATCCAATATTGAAACCACAAACTAAATCCGAAAGTAGAGAGAATAATAAGCTGATTAAATGCTTAATTATCTCTGGTCTGAACATGAGCAAAAGAAGAAAGCCAAGTCCATCTGATGAATGCCAGCCCACTGTTAGTGAGAGTCTGAATCCCAGAAACCAACCTCAGTCCATTTGTTGCCAAAAACAATTAACCCCCTGACCTTTGCAAACCTACCACATCATTAGCCTTTAGAAGAGGAGCAGCTATTCCTCAACCCAGAGACAGCTTTAACTGGATGATGCTGATTAATGTAGCCAGGATGGAAAATAAAGCAATCTATTATTTAAATTAAAAATACATATCAATGGGCTGCTCAATACTGTTGTATTGTATTTTATTTCATTTTTGTCGGAAAAACTGTTTCTTTTTCTTTCTGGGTTTCTTATTGTTGTTTGCATCTTTCCCACAATGCTTTGTTTTCATGAAGCAGCTACACACCAGTGGTGAAACTCTTCATAAAGGCTGGAATCTTATATCATCTGTCAGCCCACATATGGGAGTCATTGACATAATGATGACTATATATTGCCATAATGATGATGGAGTCTGATTAAAAACTCATAAACTAGGGCTGATAAGGTTTGCGTTAGTGATCCTCCCCTTTTAGTGGATATCTATGTCAGATCAATATGATGTCTGCCAGTCAACCTGCCACTGCTGGCAGAGTAGCCTTTGCTGTTTTAGACTTCAACTTTCTGCATGAGTGACAGTCACATACCATAAAGGATTCTGTTTTATAGCTGCATTGCACAGCACTGAAGTTCTATTTCATGGGTGCTGGCATAACCCCACTCCTTACACAAGTATGGAATTAGGCCTTCAACTCTTGCTGTCTCCAAAGTCAGTATGGCTTTCACTATGAAATTAAACTTCTTTACTCTGGTTCCTATTACAGGCACATGCGTGTCTCTCTGCTTGTATCTTCGTAAATGCATGCTTGTGATTCGAAAGATGCTGCCTCTCAAATAATCTCCCCATTCATTCTCGTCACTTATAGCGTCCTTTGTTCTGGAATAAATGCGTTTCTCAATTTTTTCGTCATTGTGGAACACCTGCACTGTGTCTTCTTTATTCGCTTTGAGAATGAAATTCAGAAATGAGCTGAGAGTGTGAGCAGATTCACAGGCAGCTCAAAACTGTACTTTGTGGTTAAGACTTGAAGATGCAGCCCAAGGGATTTCTCCCAAATAGGATAGTGGTTTGAAATTGTCAGAACGCATGGCAGAACCTTTCTAATATGAAAAGTGTAACACATGGCCACAAAGACTAATGAAAACTGTGAGTATGATAAAGTGAGCCTTCTGAAGATAAAATACATTCACTGTAAATGGAGGTTAGCTTTTGTGTAGTATTTTGTAAGGGACAATGTTCAGACGGGCTGCTAAATGTAACAAACAATTAAGCATGATTCATTTCCTGTAATGTAAAATATACATCTGAAGTCTTTTTAATAACTTTTTTAATAAAAAGTAAAAAGACATTACGGTTCCCTTGCAAATCCTCCTATCTAATTCTAAACTTATTATCAGGATCTTTCACCTGTCTCTCTGAAAAATAAGATCTTACAAATGAATGAAATGAAATAATCTGTTAATAAAGACCAGTTTGCAGCATTCCATTCCTTGGTGACAGCTACTCTAAACAGCAAGTAAAGTCATCAACATCAAATGTATAGTTTGTATATCTCTACATAGGAGTAGCCTCACCTTCAGTCCGTCAACACCTGGGACGCCTGGAACCCCAAGTGAACCCTGAGAAATAGACACAAAGGCCTTTAGGTGTCAAGAAACTGAAAGCATGGGTTATCAAAAATTCAAATATGACAAAGTACTTTTATTTTGGCACAAACTAAACTATAGTTGCTTCAAAGAGTGAGCCTACAGAGGTACTTCTGAACAGGCCTGTCTATTGTTCGCATCCCCTCTTCAGCATGTACACCCCGGTGGGTGCTGATCTTCCAAAACCAGGCCAGAATAAATATTGCATGTCATATTTTAGGATCTGAGAAGCTATGGACGGTACGGGCCAGAGGGCAAGACTGGGAGTTGAGAATATTTCTGTCGAGTTTTAAACTGAGAGAAGAGAAAGTTTAAAAAACAAAAAGGCTTAATATGTACCATAGCGCTTATAGTCCTGCAACTTACTTAAAGCAGATGATTTAGGCTCTGAGGTTGCAACAAGCATGTTTTAATGAACTCCCACACTCTTACACAGTGGTTTACTTATGTTGGCTATTTGTGCTTCTTTGTAATAAAAGTGACTTACTGTTACCATGGTCACATTTATAGATGTATCTGAGATCTGTGAAACATTTGGTATATAGACTTAAAAGTAATGGAAAACAATGAAAAAAGTAATAATATATAATAATATATCCAAAATATAACTTGGCAGAAAGGAGAGAAGAGAGTGGATCAGGATTAGGGAAGGAAAGTTGATGAAATACATTGTTCCAATCAGATAAGTTCAAATACATGATTCACACTCTACTTTTTTTTATTATGTAATGACACCAAATCAAATCACTAAGATAATGAAACTTGAATAACTGTTGACGTGGCCCCTCTGCTAAACACAGCACTACACCCCCCAGCAGCAGATCTAATTGAGTAGCCTCGGGGCCTGGCTTATGAGTCATTAACACGGCGGTGTGTCATCATTGACCCCTCCACCCCCCCCCTCTCCGCCGACGGGAGGCCTTGCCGACAGATGACAGCACAGACAGGAAGTGTCTGATTGGGTTACACTGAACAAACACTGGCAGCTACCTGATGGCTGGATATGGCTTACATCTGTTCCCCACATCAGCGCCGCCAGGGACCCGCGGCCTGTATCGCAGCACTTAGCTCCAGGATCTCTGTTCTTCATCTCTCTACCTCTCTCTCCATCTTTTTCTTGCCTTCCTCATGTTGTTTGAGCCCTAACTCTCCTCTTGTCTATTTACTTGCCCCGTTTGTGGCCCTGTGTCACTAATCCCCAAGTAAACATATTCAACGCCCAGCATACAGCTATTTGAGCAACTTGTGCACAGTCAATATCAAATCCAAAACATTATTCTACTGCTAAAGAAATAGAATTTGAGGATTACAACAGAGAGGGACAGAGAAAGCACCTTGTCAGTGTGAAATGTATTTTTGATGTAATTTAGCGGATAACTGAGTCAGAGAGTCTCATTTTATTTAATCTAAAAGACAAGTGAGAAATGTCAATGGAACAAGAAATGATTTTCTGGACTTACCTTCTGCCCTTCTGGCCCTTCGGGCCCCTATAAATGAGAAGAGAGACAGAGAATGGGAGAGAAACAGAACAAAAGAGTCCATGTCAGATGAAATAATATAATTTCCATGGGCCAACACGGTCATAGCAGAGAGGCTGGCAAGATTTGTGGTAGGATTTCATACAGTGAGCACACACCCTTCAGGCAGAACCAAATCACAATCAATCCCTTGTTTTAGTCTTTGACAAAAAAGGAAAATTGACTCACTCCGTGCCTTCTTTTCATCGAGCTTCACCATAAACATGAATCTCTAATGAGACCCTGAATAACAGAAACTTATGGTTTTATCTTTTATGTTGATATCTTTCTTTATTCGTTTTAGCGACTGTAAAAACTTGTCTTGTTTGGCTGTTCTACATTCTAAGACTTACAGTCCAACACATAGAGAGGTCCATTACCTAAATGGGCCAATAGTTGGAAAGCCTCACAAAGCTAATAAGTTAGACAGGGCAAAAAAGGCGCCATATCCCTCACTGAGATTTAACAAAGTGATAGATGAGTCTGGGAGGACAGTTTCTATTTTCAACCTGCTGTTTACAGTGAAACCAGAGGCCATGTTGGATCCTCAATCTCCTCCACCAGAACCTGCCTAAAAACGGCAGGACAGCTTTATGACTAAAATGAGAAACTGGCTGAAAGTTAGTTCCTTCCATGTTGGCTTCCTTGAGTCTAAACTATTGCAGTACCCACAGCAGTTCATCAACACCTTTATGCTTGGCTGTTATGACACCTCATGTTGGCCAACATTTTTCTCACTGTCGGCTCAGGATCTACGGTAAATGGTGCTATTTGGCTCATCGCTCTCAGTTGGGTCAAGGCCAGGCAGATCTTATGCCCCACAAGCACTCCACAACATCTTTCCAAGCTTTATTCATGTTGATGCAGTATAACTGGCAAAACCTAAGATCTGGTCCCCTGAAGAGTGTATAAGGTTTGTGTGCCTGTATTCAAAAGTAGCCAACGAGGACGCATTCAGGTTGAAATGTTGGACTGTCATTGCAAATGTTCGTGAAAAGGTTTGTTAGTTTGGTGGTGGCCAACTTATGCCTCGTGGCCAAAGCACCAACAGATGCTTGGCTTAGCAAAAAGAACAATAATAATGACCAGTGTTCTGAGAATGAATTCGATCTTTCCATATCTTATTTAGTTTTTGTTAAAGAAACAAGACTGAAGCTCAAAAACTTTTCCATTTACAAAACTAGCCTGTTAAAATCCCTGCAGCAACACGTTCTCACATTTACAGAAATGGCCCACACAGTTGCAACTCATTTATAGTGCATTCCATCTGCACTTAAGACAAAAACCTCAATGAGCAACTTTCATTATCCTAGCCAACCAAGAAAAAGGTTTTCCTCCTCCTTGCCTTTAAAAGCCTTTGTTAGCTATCCTCAGTAGGGTTTGGTAAACATCTTTATGACCCACTAGGTATGTGAGAGCATGTGCCACTTGCCTGAGCGCTAATTAGCTTGGCTACATCTGAGAGCACTCAGGAGCTACTGGCTGAAAAGGAGATTTTTCACAAAGTCAATAGCCCTTAAGGAAGTCTTGCTCCTGGCTCTTTTGTTCCCAACTTTGGACACTGACATAAAAATAAAAATAACAATGACAATAATCCAAACATCTTCATTTAAAAGGGAGAATAATCTGAACTAAAATAGTATTCATCATGGTAGCACATGCTCAGCATATCACACCTTAGCTGCTTCATTTAACATTCATAAAAGAAAAGAATCCACAAATGTGCAATGTCAACAGGACGCCTATTGAAGTCGAGCATTCGAGCACAAATACAAAGCGCTGAATGTTTTGGCGCTTTCATTCATGTCTCGGAAATCACAAACAATGAAGCAATTGCCAGGTCAATTCCCACACTCGGTCTGCAGTTGGAGCCTCAAACACTTGAAGAACTTGCCTGAGTGTGCATTTCTCCTTCAGCATTAACAAGAAAAATATTTCGGCTGATCAAAGCACAGCAAGGCTACAAGCTGGAGCTTTGGAGGGCAAATGCAAAGTTAAGAGCGTCTGTTCAAAGTTTCTGTTTCACTTATACGATCTTTATAAAGGCTTTGCAATATAATGCTGCTGTTTACATTAAATTAAGTTACTTTGGGCTTTAAAAGGAAAATTATGTTTTTGACACCCTGGGTCTTATTGTCTTAAGTTTGGCCAATGTAGTTATAGGTTAGCATAACATTGTGTTCAACATCATCACTGTAGAGATGGTGGACATGTGTGCTTTATTTAAACTGTGTACATGACTTTTCATTCTGTAAGACCTTTCAATCACACAGGCTTTACTGCTACTGCCACTGTGGACAAAACAGCAGCTAGCAAGAACATAGAGGCCATGTAATCAATGTAGAATTTTAACTACGATGCAGCTTTGAAAAGACATTTGTAATGAAAGTTATACATTTTAGTCTTCATCTTAATTCATTCTGATATATTTCAGACTAAATGTTTTTAAAATCCACTAAACTAAAGCAGTCTTATTAGGATGTTGAGTTTGGTGGGGTTCGTCTGGTGATTCTTCTAGGGAAATTTGGACTTATATTCACACTTTAAACTTACATATTATTAAAAACCATTATTCTCTACAAATAGTCACTTTCATCATTCATTAATCTACTAATTTTAATTATATTCTGGATTCATTGTTTGGTCTATTTCTAAAACCCAAATATGAAACAAGAAACAAAGAAATGTAAGTAAGTCCTGTCATTGGAGAAACTAACACCGGAGAGGGGACGTAGGTTTTGGCAGGAAAAAAAAGAAGACCCTTTTCTGTTGATTGATTAATCAGCTAACTGATTATTCATTCCCAATCTCAAGTGAAGAGCTGCTCTGCAAGCTACTACTACTAGCTACTTTACATCTACTGTTCCTGGGCAGAAAACACAACCAAATAATCTCAGTATTTCTAAAATCCTGATTACGACCCTCCCTGTAGGCATACTGCCTAAAACTACGACAAAAAGTAAAAAAATAAAAAACAGAAATAAAAAAAATATATTTTTGCCCATTGATGTCTACATTTGCCACAGAATTGTTCGAGTCCACCAAGCATGCCCCAAGCCATTTACTCACATCTTTGCTCCTCATGTTTGGCTTCACATTAAAAGAAAACTTAGTCAAGGACACCAGCATATTAAAGGTATGTCCTCATTATACAGGGATATTAAGTAAATTAGATCCCTACATGCATGGCTGTTGTGTATTTAAAAAATGTCTAAGGTGAGTCATTGGTGCATTGTGGGAAGCTATAGAATGAATAGGACGTAAAGGGGAGCAGCAAACTTCTGCAGCATAATTGGAAATAACACCAAAAAGCAGATGGAGGAGGTTTTTTCAGTTACGGATGGAACACCGCATACAATACACCACTGGTTTTCCATATTAAATCTTTTTGAAGCAAAATCAAGCCCCAAATGAAAACTGTGTGCAAGGCTGCAAGCCACCTTTAGAGAGCTGAAGACCCCCTTAATTTACCCCAGAGAGACCTTATGGCACTGATGATTTTGAATTGAGTCCTGAAAATATTTCCTTTTTCTTCTTCTTCTTCTTCTTCCCACCTCCCCCCTCCTCCTTGTTGCTCCACAAGAGCCTAATCCTTCTAACCAGCACCATATGTCCTGGAAGGCTGCTGGAAAACTCTGGAATCTACTTTTGCCTCTTTAACAATAGAATCTACATCAAAAACGCTGAGCTGTGTGTCAAGTGGGCGCTAGCTCCTAGAGCACCGTAAAAGAAGCAAAAGTTGGTGAAGGACCGAACTCAAAATCCCCACCTCGAGTTGACTTGTGCAGATCTAAAAGTGCCAATCAAAGATTATGCTTTCTGCTTGCTGCACAAAGTGGAGCCTATCGGTCTAGTTGCTTATGCACATCTAATTCATATTGATTTTCAAAGGTCAATCAAGGGTGTGGACTGGTGTTGTTTTTCTGGATGGAGAATTTCTCTTTATTCCCTCTCCAGAGGTTTAACAACTCAAATGATCATTTACAGAAACATTTCTCTCTAATCCATTATCTTATCTTTGCTGTTGGCTGGAAACAGAAGCTCTGAAACGGCAACTGCAGTGTGTTTGAGCGGCCATGTCACATCTTTTTACAACTTCTGGGATATGCTCATCTCACGCTGCTTTACGGTGGGGATTGATTTCCAAATGATGACATTATTCCTTGTTAAAAGTACATTAGTGTCATGCTGTGTATGTACTTGTGAAATAGTATGCCTTATTTCAAGAATTACAGTGAGCAGCGCATATTTTTTATTCAAAGATCTGTGCGAGGCCTCTGAGCTCATTTTGAATGGGATTCACCATTCATCTCTTGGAGAAATACTCCAGCTGCTGTCATGAGTGGTTGTGTAAGCACTGGAGAGTTATGGGAGCACACCTGGGATCACTGGGAAATCTATTACAATTTTTACATTCATGACACTATAAATTTTAAACAAAGCTGTTCTGCTTGCTTACACAGCTATGAGTGTGAGCAAAGGGGGGGATAATGAGTAAAACATATTAAAGCGAACAAAAGCTGAAAACTCCAGAAACATAAAAGCAGACAGAGGCTGGTGTGTTCGATGACCGAAAAATGATTAGCAATTTTAGCTTTAAACTCCTCTTACTCTCTAGTTAATGTGTCTCTCTCGCCGCTTCGCAATCCTTTATTTTCTCTGTCCATTTCTTTCCAATCAATCCAGCAACTTTTTCCACACTCTGGCAAAGGTCCGAGGAGATGGAATCAGAGATGAAAGGACTTGATAGCACCTCCTCTGTCAGCTTCACTTACTCTCCCCTGCACTTGTGAAAACTGACATCATCAAGTGTTTTCACATGTCATGTTTTCCGTCCTTCCTTTCTCTGGAATTTGGCTTGACCTTTTCAATGCAGCTTTTATGAGCAAACTTTAATCAAATGCTTTATTTGCCAAACACCACAAGCGGTATCAAGTTGCTGTTAACTGAAACAGCTTGAGCCTACTGAATAATGAAGTTTGTGAGAGAAAGCAAACGTTTTTGCAGGGTATCACAAAATGTGTCATTAATATTGACCACTGTAGTACCCATAAACCACCTTATGAATATCTTGTAAATGAAATACAAATTTAAAAAACAACAAAATGGCAGTATAACTACATTTTTTACTACATTGCTTTGTTGATTAAACTCTGTGGAAGAGCAAATTTGAAATGGATGTAGGGTATTTTTGAGAGGGCCACATTTGATTCTGCATCCAGGAAAAACAAGACAAGACATATTTTTTTTTTTACCAAATTAGAACACTGTAAAAGCAAGTTTATCAGTGTAACAAAGGCAGTCAGTCAGAGAAGACTAATATGGCTAAAAAGTTGTATACAGTTGAGGATATTTATAATGAAAAAAAAAGATAATAAGCTGGGTTAGATGGGAAGATACCGTTCTCATGTCTGTATGGTAAAAGCTAACTTCAACAGGCAGTCAGCTTAGCTTAGAATTAAATCTGGGAACAGCTAGTCTGGTTCTGTCCAAAGGTAACAACATCTGCCTACCAGCAACTCTAAAGCTCACTAACTAACACTCATTTGTTTCATCTGGACAAAAACCCAAGTATAAAAACAACACGCAGTGGTTTTATACAGAGTTAGGAGCCAAACTATTTCCTGCTGCAGTAACCTTGTGAAGTTTTGTCTTTGCCCTTAAGATAGCCAGACAACCGGGGTCTTTGGTCTTTGTGCTAAGCTAAGCTAACGAGTTGTAGCTTCATATTTACCCGATAGGTATGAGAGTGGAATTGATCTTGTCATCTTACTTTCAGCAAAAATGAATATGTGTATTTCCCAAAATGCCAAACTATTCCTTTAAACGATGCTGAATGCAGTGATGCTAAATTGTCAAAAGAAAGGTTTGTGCTTACCATGGGTCCTAAATCTCCAGGCTGCCCTGGATCACCCTATAGTAAATACAAAACAGCCAGTTAATAGGAGAGCAGTAGGCCAAGTCTTCTTTGAAAAGTTAAGAACATGTATGGAATTTTAAAATGATCATGAACAGTATTCTGAGTGAAACAAGTCAAACATTCTGGTGAAAAAAAATACTGTATTTTCCACATTATGGTTGAATTCCCCATTTCTTTTAGTGTTTGGCCACTATGGTGCATTGGGGCCAGGTTGCCAAGCAGAGCTCTGCTCATATACCAAGTTGGCTGGGAGGCATTTTTTCATGCTGTGGCACCTGTACCCTCCACTGTCTGTCCAACAACCTTGTTCTACTCTGTGCTCTCAGTTCAGGCCTGGCTCTTGGATGTTCCTGCAGTTCTCAGGGTAGAAAAAAGACCTATGCCATGGCCATATTTTTATGCCAAAGCCATGCCTGAACATTATTCCATTCTTGCCTCTTTGTGACATTTACAGGACAATTTTTGCCACCCTGCTTCGTGGTGATTCATGGCAAGAGAAATAAATCATGAGAAAAATAGCGACAAGCAAGAGAAATGTAATTTCTTGGAAAAAACGCAACAACTACAGCAACTGCAACTGGAAGAACTGAAAACAATAATCATAAAAAACTTGGAAAGAAGCAGATAAACAACACTTAATATTTTTGCACTCCCACTGTGAACTCTGCCAAGACAATAAAGATCAGCTGGAGCCCCTTGGAAGGTTTTATGGCTTAACATAATTGACAGGCCTTTTCTGTTTCTTCTTTCTCTCACAAGCAGAGTTCACATAAATTAGTGTGATGCCAGTGACAGGCTTACAGACATGGAAAATGTTATGTTATAATGAAAAACAACCAAGTAAACGTAAATCCATACAGTGAAGCACTCTCTTGGGAGCATATTCATGTTTAGCTAAAGACATTAGGGCAATGAACTGCAACGTAGCTTGTCTAGTCTTCATTAGAAACGTTTTCATTTAGGATAAACCCTCCCGGCACAGAGTCAAAGCAAAATTGAATATGAGTACAAAAAGACCTGAACTTGTTTTGCTCTTAATGGAAACAATGCAGTATTTTTTAAAGGAATATCCACAGAATTGTACTGATCAAGCGCCATTTTAATATTACACTGACTGCAAAAGAAAGTCTTTATTAAGCTGAATCAAACTTGCTCAGATGGCAGGTGAAAATCAGTACTCACTGGTAGACCAGGTACACCTCTGGGCCCATCTTTCCCAGTGTCCCCTGGAGGTCCCCTTGGCCCAGGAGGGCCCGGTGGCCCTGGAGGCCCAGGTGGTCCTGCTTGCCCTTGATCTCCCTGTGTGGCAAAACAACACATTTAAACATCATTAATCTGCGATATTGTTGGATCCACTGATACTGGAGTCTCTGCAGTTAAATAATAATGAAGAGAGAGTAGTAGAATGATCTTGTGGGTGGCTATGGGCTGCCTCCATTCATAACATGAAGGAGAGTTTGCATTTTAGGTCTTACGGTTAAAGCTTGCTCACAGCAGAAGCTGGAGCTGTATTGTATCTGATTTATAGTTGAAACAGTAATCCCCTGAAATGCATCCATTCCTAAATGGACTTAATGAGTGGGTGCATTAGGCACCGTCTAATAAAAAGTCACATTTTTAGAGCTACAATAATCAGGGCAAAAATATCCTAAAAATGTGTGGTCCATTATCATACTGGATTATAAAAAAAGTAAAAGAAAATATTCAGCAATCTGACTTGCAGGGATAGTGTTTTAAGTAATTCCAGGACGGTCAGTAATTTATTTTACCTTAATAAAACCTTGTTTTCTTAAAAGAAATTTCCTTTTAACCATAACAGAAAGAGTATAAGAGTACTTATGAAAGGTCTGTCTGAAGGCTTGCATGCAAACTGCAGAATGCCCAGAGAGAAGTGATTCGGTGAGACTTGGCACGATGGACAGAGAGAAGAGGACACAGCCACTACCTTAATGAGCCGCCGCTTTATGAGCTGCTGGTCAGCGGAAAGAAAGCCATGATTGATCTTAGGGAAGACCATCTGAGCAGGTGTGTGAGGTCAAGGGGTCGTAGGTCAGAGGTGAGAGAAGGTTGAAGGAGGATGAGGTCCCAGAAGAAGAAGAAGGAGGAGGAAGGCAAATGCAAAAAGAAACAGATTTTGTTAGAAAGGCTTGTGTTCATGAACCCCGGTCCAGCGCCTTCACAGATGGGGGGAGAAATCCACACTTTTCCAGCACGGAGGTGGTTTGCTTCGGAAGTCTGGGATTTTTTTTGGAGCCATGGCCCATAATTACCACCTCAGGGGTGCGAGGGCGCCACAGCGGGCTCACAGTCCCCGGGAAAATGGGAATTTCTCCTCCTCTGTGAAAGCGCTGTCATCATCTTCATAGCGCCTGCTGCTAAGTCAGACCCTGGGAGCTGCACACACTGGAACCAGCATGCTTGACCTTCTGAGTTGAGGTTGATTTGTAAACTTGTTCCTTTCAATGCATACATTATTCTGCTAGTGTCCATTGGTATTAAGTGGCTTCATCCATCGCTTAAACAATCCTCTAGGCCAAATTGATGGATTGGAAGGATTAGTGGTGCACCATGGGCATGAGGTTAAAAAAAACATTTTGCCACTTTAGTTCATCATCATATTCCTCTTGGAGTTCCTTCCATTTATTTTAGCATCAATGGACACAAGCCAGACCATGTCTTGGTTTCAGAATAATAACTCTTGTTCCAGTCAGCTACATATTACTGGGTTGTAAAAGGCCACCTTTGCTTTCAATGGCGAACCTGGCATGTAGCATGCAACCATAATCTCGGGTGAAAGACTGGTAGCGGCAGTGGGGGGAAGAGGATAACGATTGACTGGCTGTGATTAATTAGATGGGATTTTTCCTGTGCCTAGTCTATCATCGGGCTTGGAGAAAAAGCAGCCGACAGTGATTCATTTACTCCCAGTGTGTGCTACGGAGGGGTCGGACTAAGCAGCTAGGCAGCACCACCACCGACAAACCTTGACAGTCAGGATCTGATTGCTGTGCAAAGCAGCCAGCGTAGGGAGACCAGGCAATCCCTAAAGGGACAAACAGCAGAACATGGCACAACACACGCATGACATTCAAACACTGGGTGAACAAAAACAGTTAAAGGAGGAAGAAGATAAGCATCCTACTACTAAATATTCTCATAAATTTGTGAAATATACTGTATAATATGTGAAATACTGCAATGTGTATTTGAAGGTTTTTCTTAAAAGTATCAAAAGTCTACATCAGTTCGAATGTCAAAGTTTTGAGGACTAGAAATTTCAATTCAGACCTAAACAACACAAACATTCTCCATTTAACAAGTCCAAGTTTACTCTCTGCCATCAAACAGTGTGTACAATGAGTGTATCCTACAGTGTCATAGCCAAGTAACCATTTCCTGTTGTTTTCTTCCAAATATACAGACAGAACATTTGTTAAGATTATTATCATAGAGCAGACTTTGAGCTATAACATGCTGGTAAATTGAGGAGCTGTGTTGTCCATAAAGTTTCAGGGAACATCAAGGGGTTGTGATGTTTGCTGGAAATTCAATCAAATGGTTTTCAATTCCCTTGTCAACAATCATCATGACAGATGTGATCCACTCATGAAAACTGAATAAAGGAAGAAAGCATCGGGCCCCCTCCTTGTTAAAAGGAAGACAAGGGTTTATAGTTGGATGCTAACTTTTATCTGAAGCCAGAAACACTGACATATCATCAGCTAAACATGATTTTGAATGTTATCCTCAAATAAATGCACTCCATCAAGTTTCAAACACTATCATTAATCATTCTTTTGGGGATTTTGTGCATACTTAGAAATATACTGTGCACGTTTATTTCAGTGCACTTCTGTCAAACAAGGTCTTTGACAGTGAGGGGTCTTTAACAGCCATAATGCCTTGTGAACTCAAACATGAACTGACCATTTGCTGAACCCCTCCCCCAATGAGCCATTATCCAATCGCAGCGTAGTAACCATAACTAGACACACAGTTTTCTCAACAAAGCTGAAGTGGTATTCATGAGGCTGTATTATACTTGGCTTTTGAAGAGTTTGAAGGGTTTTGTCTTTTTTCCGGGCCTTTCCAAGACTAAAAACACAACAACAAAAGTCTAAGGAATGGATTTTATGTGCCTGCTCTAATGTAAGCCACATTTGTTAGCTTGCCAGGCTAACTAAGTGTACTACTTACTGAAGTAGCCATGCTTCTTGCAAAGCCAAGGGACATATCATTAACTAACTATATTAATTCATGGGGTTGGTTACAGCCTATGTTAAAAATAATTTGTGACTAGCACATTTATTGTGTAGTATTTTCACGCTGTTTGGAGGCGGATCCTGAATACTATTAAAGTTTAACAGAAACGACTCTGTCCTGCTCTTTATTGGATTTGGGGGCGTTTACACTCCAGTAACCCCGGCCAATCTTGCCTGAGATAGCGTCACATTTGCCAAACCCATCGGTCCATTCCTAAAAAGCCTGACACAGTAACAAATGGTGGTGGGACTTAGTGAAGGGTCAAATGTTTTTAGTTTTAATGCTAAGTTTGCAGAAGACATGCAAATATTGTACCACATTGGTTTTTACGGTGATTGCATATTCCTTTGTTTATCTTTATGCTGCAGGTTTTGCTCCACAGTAAATAACCAACCTGAATGAACTGATGAAAGTATTTCTCAAAGACTGGCACACTAGCATAAACATGTCCTGTAAGAGTTTAATCTTCCTCTATATTCAAGTTTAAGATAAAATCTGGCCTATCCAAACATGGCTTTGGTGCCATCCCTCTGGTTTTCCAAAGATAATTCAAAAAGCATGGCTCATTAAGAATATGGCTTTCAAGGCAGGCAGATTTAATTCAGCCCTGCAGCAGAACAGAGCAATGGATACTCTTACACTGCAGACAATAGCCATGCTGTGTGTAACTGGGATTGAAGCGCAAATATTTCCCAAGTTATTTACAACCTCAAACATCTTGAGCACAAAGAAGGAAAACAAGTACTGGATCATGGTCGGAGGAACGGACAATACAAGAAGCCCAGGCATCAAAATTTAGTCTGTAGGCTGGCACGTGTGACTGTTTTCTAGCCTTTTTTGCTTTTACAATCATTTTGATACACAATGCTAAGGGAGACTGAACTTGGTGACCAATGTGTGTTTGAAATGTTTTTAAAAAAATAAATGATTATCTGAACAAAACCCAGTAGTTTGTAGTCCCTCCCTGCAGGAGATGAGATCAAAGGAGCTTGACCAAGTGCGGGTTAGTGTTAACCCCGCATTGCCAGTGTGCTGATGTCTATGTGTGAGAATGATAATGACATGGCGGTTGACAGAGAATCCTAACCAGTCACAGATTGCTTTGTTTTGCTTTTCTCCTCCAAAACGGATGTTGGTTATTTGGTGAGGAGCTTTGTTGCTATGTATTTGCCTGCAGCAAGATGACTGCAACTGTAGTAAACAAAAAGCCAGATACGAGGACAATCAGCAACAGCCGTCATAGGACACTGGCCAGAAACAGCATCTCCTCGACCACACCAAACACACAAAACATCCCAAGCAAATGCAGGCTGTGGCATTTTTTGAATATCTATATGTGGAGTGGATTACCAGTTCTGTGCACAGATGGCTTTAATACATTTAAGAGAGGAATAATACATTCATTTGAAGCCTCAGATTTGGCATCAATCTGATACACATCACATTTATCTCAAGTAAAATTTGTTTTAAGGCGTCTGATTTCATGTGCAAACAGTGGACTGTAAAACTCTTTGTTCGCGACTGAAAAGTAAAATCCTGGAATTTACAAGATCACAGCGTCTTTATTTTGGAAGAACATTGCAAATTGGTTAAATCCCAAGATGTGAGAAGTGAAGTACTGGACAAACAAGGACAGATTCTTGGTGAAATCTCAGGAATTTTCCCTCTAACTGGCCCAGGAATTCACCAACCTTTGCTCGATACCTGCAGCTAGTGCCATCCGTCAAAAAGACCACACACCTTTCTTGGTGATACATTTAACCAGTAAGTCCAGTTAATTATATCCCACCAGTGGAGCTCGACTGGTGGCCACACATTTGTTTGTCAAAAAAGCCAATTTATTATTTGTTGTTTGGTTAACCTTTTAGCGTTTGGATGTGGCCTTTGACCTTTAGAGCCGACAAATGGCTGACCCTGACATGTGGGGAACAGGCAGAGGAAATGTGTGTCTGTGAGGAAATTCTGCCGGCCATGTGGCAATTCTCACACCGTCTTTGGCCACAGAGGCTCAGGAGTTTTCACTGGACCCTTTGATTTGATCCTAGAAGACATACACATATTATGCATGCAAACAAAAACTATAAACAGTTAAATCATTCTAAATTCAAATCTGTTTGGATTGGATGTAATCTGGCAGACTGCAATGTGTGAAGGACATATTCTTGACATGCTCTGTTGTTTACATGTACCTCCATAAGGGTTTAACAGCGTCTCTGCACATAGTCAGTACTGGGAATTAAATGAGGTTCATTTCCAGCCAGATAAATAAAATAAAGGTCATGCAGCACTTGTCCTGTTATGCCTTCATTTATTAAGGAAATCTCCCTTATACTGTTCCACTACATTTACCTACTAATCTAATGTGCAAAGTCAATATGCCATTCTGGGGAGGTAATGTGACCTCATGTGCTTTCGTGCCCCCGTAGTCCTTCATATGTGACTGTGTGCTAATTTGTACCTGTTAGGGGACAATTTTGCTGTAATTGGAAGTTAATGAAATGCTATCTTGAAGTGGACAGTTTATTTATTTACTCTACAAGACAAATATGGCCTGACTGGGCCCTGGTACCACTCTGTCAGCCGCACTTCTGTTTCCAAAGCGTAAATCATTTAACTGATAGAGACAGATGACTCCATTCCTAGGTTAAAAGGGTACAAATATGGGCAAAACACAAGAAATTTTACCCAAACGACGATACAGTGCTTCCGCCTTTGCAACTATAATGATTATCCAATACTTTTTATATCATTAAAAATTAACAAAGGATATCACAGAGCTATTTGTAGATCTTGTGAATGATCCGCAAATGCTGTGAACTTGTCATTTGAGTGGTGAGTATGAGTAACATAAGATGTATCATTTTGAGACCACTAATCAAATTTCTCTGGGAAGGTCATTTGTATTGACTTTCAAATCATAAGAAACAGGGTGCTTTGACATGCAGAGCTGGCCCGGAGGAGAGCTGACAAAGTTAATTGGCAAAGTACAAACGTCTGGGTTTGCGCCAATACAGAATTGGGATCAGATCCACTTGGGAGATGGCTGGTGTTCTGGTGACAAGACAAACCTCTGCGTTGTTGTGTTCTCCTTGTCCTTATGCTCTAACCTCTACGTGCTCTCTGCCCTCATGGAAACCAATTACAGGCATTTAAAGTGGCTTTGACTCCATATGATCTACCCCTGATGACAACAGCAGATACAGAGGGAGGGATACAGAAAATAAGCGAAAAGTGTGTGTATGCATGTCCACATTTACCCTCTGGTTAATGCAATCTACTTTAAACAAACCTGTGCAGTCACAGTCTGTTTTGTTCAAAGAGGGCTCATTTTTTAACCATTATTTGAGAAAAATGAGGGCGCGCTGGCTGCAAGGTGGAGATAGAGTAATTCATTTTAGAGTCTGTCAAGCACGGAAAAGCACTCACATCATCATCATTTAGAAGCTGCACTTTTATAGAAATGTCAAACTACAGAGCTGGAAATGATTAAAGCTCTGAATACGCCATGTCACGTTGAGGATTGAAGTGAATCACTAGTAATTATGGAGACAGAGCTGGTTGGCTTTTGATTATAGCCGAGATTGAGCAGATATCTTGTGCGGATGTGCAAAAGCTTGTACTCATGTTCAATTGAAGACAAGAGGTAAAAAAGAAGTCTTTGCGTCTCGAGAAGTATACCACGGCGTGCTTTCTGAGGTATCTTGCACATTTGTCTGTCTATTCTTGATGTAGAAATAGGCAGTGCTGAAATGCTTGTTGTATTTGGCCAGATGGGGAAGAACACTATCCCAGGAATTTCATGCATCTCAAACCTTTTGCCCACAATTCTGCTGGGGGAGACAAGCACAGTCACATTCATCAGCTAATCACAAGAAGTTGGAGTTAAACTGCATACCCGTGGTCCCTGGTCGCCTTGATCCCCCTGTGGAAGGCAAGAAAAAAAGTTTTGAAATGCAAGGGTCGAACACACACTAAACACACACTGAACGCACACACACAGACGCAACTACGGTGCTAATACTCACACACCGAAATCACTGAGGCATAATTCAGAACACATTGATAAAGAAAAATAATACAGGAACCCTCAACTATTCATTGTGGTTGAAAGCAAAATCACTTATGATAACATGGACTGACATGAATTGGGTATGAGAGAAAGAGAAAGAAAGAGCAGTGGTGTGAGGTTTGGTGGGTTTGGTAAGGGGGGCTGAATGTGGGTGAACTGCATTGCCAGGCCAGATTTTATGCCCCAGAGATGTTTGGCTTTCTGCCTTCTTTGGGGGTAGATCTCTGCGGACAGAGTGTGTTTCTGAAGGGGAAAACGTTTGGTTTCGAATCAACCTGTGTGTAGAAGACTGTGGGTTTATCACATTAGACTGAAACCGAACCAAAAGTACACTTTTGTTTGAAGCAACTGAAGGACGACCAAATGTTGGACACTGAATTATAACCCTAATCTGTCTAGAATCGGATAACTGAACACGCTTAAACCATCTCATTTGATGCTCCCTACTCTCCTGTTGGCTGAATTACAATTGCGCCACAGCAGTAAAATGAGCTGAACAACTTATCACACATGGATGGGAATTTTGCTTAAAACAAACTTCAATGTAATGCCTCAGCAATTTCAAATAAAACAGCTCTTGGAATTTTTGTAATTTTTCATTGGGCAGTCGTTCCAAAACCTGATTTAATGGGAAAACAGTTGTGAATGGCCACACTGATGCACGCTGTATTCGTCTTGGGTGGGAGGAATGCACAGTTGTTTTTAATTTCATTAAACTGCAGATGAAGTGGTTCACATGAGAGTCTGAACATGCATCTAATCAGAGAGACTCAGTTATTCCCGATCGTCATAATGGATGCTCGACAATGATCCAAATCTGGTTTTGTAAGTCACGCGTATGGGTTCGATTTTCTTCTTTAAGGGACGCCAAATAAGAAATCACACTGTTGATTCATGACGTCGGTCAGCAACAATAATCAATGTCATTCCACACTTCACATTACTCGAAATCATCAGTTACCAAAGAGTGTGACTTGATGCAGATGACAACTGTTTCTCTGTGTTTGACTTTACCTCTGGTTAGCACTCTCACGCTATTTCATTTTACATCTTTTATTTTACAGCACAGTAATCCTTATAACGTAAACACTTCCCAAGTTGTTGCTCACTTCATATAAAATATGAATACATACTTAATCTATTCATTGCTGGCGTGTAAAACAGATCTTCCCCAGAAGCATTTTAGAAGTACGCACTTTAAGTCATTTGTTTCCATTACAAGTGAATTCAGGGACTTTATCAATTTTGGTGTGAATCAAGGGATCTTGTGGTTTTCAAAGCAGACGCACAGGCACACATTTGTCCCCGAGTCCTGCAGACGTATAAAGAGACAGTGTGGTTATTTTGCATGCTCCACTGCTGTTTTATGGAGGAATGCTCAGTGAGCCATTTAAGGGCTTCAACTTGGGCTCTGGCTTTCACTCATTAATGTCCTGTGCTGTGGATTTGTGAACAACGGGAGAATTTAAATATTCAGACTCCGACACTTAAGGTCAGGATGAAATAATCTGAATTATTGCTGCATATGCAAAATGACACTCCATATGGACATATTAACTGTGAGTAGAGCAATAACAAAGATTTTTATTGTCTGACCTGCAAAAATGTATGATGGGCTGGACATTAAACACTATGTTTGACATAATTGGAAACAAGAGTATTTGATTTTGAGAATTATATAAGAAGATTGATAACACTATCATTTCTGTATAGAAAATATGAATCTGGAGCCAGCAGCTGTTTAGCTTAGCAAAAAGGTTTGAATAACTTCTTACAGAGCCAGGCTAGTTGTTTCCCTCTGCTTCCAGTCTTGGTGGTAAGCTAAACCATTCAGCTGTTTGCTTTAGTTTAGCATTTACATATGAGAGTGGTATCAATCTTATCAAATAAGCATATTAACCAAACGGTTAAACTATTGCTTTAAGCAGCTGAACAAAATATCTAAGCAGATCAACAGTATTTCAATAAATATGTCAACGAAAATATGAAATTACTCACCTTTTCACCCTTTGGACCAGGAGGGCCCTACAAAGAGAAGAAAAAGGATTGTTCAAACTTTAAAACCCATAAATAGGAAGAAAATGACAAATTATGGCCCATGTATGTTATTTATGAGCTTTTTTATTGCCACGGCACACTACCTGGTAAGAGACAATACACTGCAACAACAGTAAAAGCAGGGTGACAAATCATGTTAGCCAAGAAACATACAGAGCTGTTTAACAAGGCTTGAACAATGTGAACTAAGAGGGAGATGGCAACATCAAAAGTTGAAAAAATTTGATGAAACGAACACTGGGAACTTTTTTGACATCTCAGAAATTCACATTTGATTAAAATACCCTGTCAGTGTGGGAACTGGTACCTTATGCATTGTAGACAGCAGGACTTATTCAAACATACAATTAAAACCAAAAACGGGCCCAAATCAAGTCCATGTTTACTTAGAGGATCAAATCCAGCAATCTCCAACCAAGTATTGGCAAGCACATTGTAAAAAATGTGCCCTGAACAAGAGGAACACTTCTTTTTCACAGCAGTTTTTGTGAGGCAGTTTTTACATCCAACTTCTGTCAATCAGCATGCAGGGGCTCCTGGGTGGGCTCTGTGAAAGATCATGGGTGAAGTAGAGGATTTGACAATGAGGTGTGCATCCATACACTGGAGCCTAATGAGCTTGTGCTCAAAAACACTATTTTTAACATTCAAGTTGAAGGATGAAGCCCAGTATGCTGGGCTCTCTTTCATCCTCTGAGGTCGTGCTTTTGGAAAAAGCGAGCTTAGGAAAAATGAGTATTAGATCAGTGTCAGAGAAGTAACTGACCACCGGCTTCGCACATGAAAACATATCTGTCAAATATATTCGTTAGATCAAAGTACTTTGTTCTGGTTGTTTCATGAAGTTGATTTTTGAGAACAGATCTGAAACTTCTACAGTCACTTCCAAGGTTGGTGAAATTGTGCATCTCCTCTAACTGTCACATATGTTCTCAGGTAAGAAGTTGTTCAACTGTCACCAATACAACACTAGTAACAGCACTGCAGTAGTTACTTTCCAGACTAATACTGGTCAAACATGATTTGTTTCTAAAGATATCAGACACCCAGTGAATTGTACACTGACACTAATCCATAGATTGATGACATGAGTATGAAACCAGCGTTTGGAGGCTGTTCCTGTGAGTCTATGGACCAGTGACCCGGAATAGCAGGCTTGCAGACACAGACAGGCTTCCACTGCACTGGCACACACAGCACAGTCTAAAACTGAAATGCTCCAGAGGTAGTCCAGCAGTTTTCCTCTGCCAATTTCTACCACACTGCTCTGGGGGAAGTGAGTTGTAGCCTGCTCAGTGCCTATGGACATTATTTTTGATGCATAGTTAACTATCCGTAGCTTTTTGTTTATGCATAGTAGTACATGTGTTCCCAAATGCATCTGCACAAGGCCTAATTTGCCTTGGTCATGAGGTTGTGAACCTGCACAGCAAGCTTTTGTAGTGGTCCAATGTTTTTAAATGTGAGGCAACTGTGTTCGCTTCAACAAGCCCAGACAAAAGCTGATGGGAAATGCAGCATATATATACACACACACACACACACACACACACACACACACACACACACACACACACACACACACACACACACACACACACACACACACACACACATCTAAGGAGGTTGGACCTGCTGCTTACTTGAAAGAGCCACAACACACTTGTAAACACAAAATGCGCCATTATGAAAACAATGTTTCCGATTGCAGTTCCCAGGGGGGGAATAACAGAGGCAACATATTGGAATCAAATGTGACTTTTACTTTTATAATGATGTAGAGGCATTCCAGAGAGGCTAAATAAGTTTCCAGTATGTTCCTGAAAATGGAAGGCAGCTAAAGAAAATCAGTGCAGGCTTTTTGTTGTGAAGGAAAATTGCCTTTGGACAATACAAGGCTATTGACAAGCTGTTACTGCACAGAATGGCTGCAACAAAGAAATACACAAATCTACCCACTGCAGCTTTTTTTTTTGCACAAGCCTGCTAAATGCATTATATCTGGCACTGACAAATACAAATAGTTGGCACTATGAATTACTGGGCTGAATGACTGGGCATCATATGTTTGTGGAAAGAAATAAACTCTGCTTTATATGATCTGGCATTTCAGTAAACCCAGATTGGTTTGTGATAAGTGCAGGAACACAGTGAAACTTGATCACATCCATGCTGAACTTCCATAATCAGCCATGTCTATAATTTGTTTGTGTGGAAATTAATAAGGAAAATGGGGTCACAGGTGATTTTCTAGTAGATATCCCACACATATAGGTCAGTCAGTCAGTGGTTCCCATCTGCCACAATTTCTTTCAACCATTCATCCATTACTTTTAGCTAACGATAACTTTTTATCCGCTAACTACTTCAACTTGTTAACTGTAACTTTCGGCTAACTATTCTATTAATGTATCCATTACTTTAGCTAGCCATTTTAATCATTTATTCATTACTTGTGGTCAACCTTTTATCCTTCTAACTTTGCTTGCCAACTAGTTTTCACACGTGTTTTCCCGGTTACAGTTATCAAAAGTGTAATTTAAATGTCTTTTTTATTCTCCTTAAATTAGTTAAGGTACTCCAAAGTGTTTTCTACAAGTAACTGCAGATGTACCCACAGGGGTCCAAGTAATGAGGGGACTAAGTAATGCTATTAGACATTTAAGCTTCATATGACTACTAGCGATGTTTTAGTGTTTTTGTTTTGAAACATAATCTTTTGATAATCCTATCACGTGTGTTAAACTGTATCAGTCACATACATGAGCAGCATTTACTGGTAGATTTGTGTAAGTGGAATGCTGCTTTGACACACCTAACCATATCTTGCCTAAAACCCTTGTTCATTTTACTCCTCCATCTGGTTGTAAAAGCATGTGGAAATGATTTTGCTACACAGCCTGCACCTGCTCATTATATGGCCCATCATTTGCACATCACATGGACAGACAGCACCCACTGGAGCTTTTCCAAAAGGCTTAAGCCAGTGCAGTGAGGGTCTTTTATAGAGACTATTAAACAGCTCTCCTGCAAAGTCTATTTCAAAAGGAGCAAACTGTACTACAGTAGAACTGCAGCAGGTGTCTATTTGTCAAGCAGTCTCTGCAGCTTTGTGGTTTCAGTCTGCCCCAAGGAAGATCTCTAATCAGCACCTGTGTATGCTTTTCACATCTTTTTACAGCTTCTGCTCTGGCTCCTTTTTCAAAAGCAGCCCTCCAGCAGGTGCTTCATGGCTCATCAGGCTGCTTCTGTTTGATCAAACTTGCTCACTTTGCATTTGAAAGTTACTTTCTCGAACATGATTAACCCCCTAGCGTCTTCTACACCTTTATATTCAGACTACACTGGATTCTTGAATGGCCATATGCATATCTGCAAAATATGTATTATGTTCTTTGAAGGAATAGTTGAACATTTTGGGAAGCAATTCATGTTCTTGCTGTGAGTTAGATGAAAAATTAACAACACTTAAATGTCTGTAAGGTACCTGTGACCACCGGCAGCTGGTTACCTCAGCTTTGCATAGGTATTGGAAAAGAGGGAAACGGCTAGCCTGGCCCTGTCTGAAGGTAATAAAACCCTATTTCTTGGTGAGCCACAGAAACTACCTGAAGTTGTCAGTGTGAGATTGCAAGGCATCAATCCAAATTGCAGTTTTTACACCTTGGTTTTTGTATAGATTCAACAAATAAGATACTGTACAATGGGATGATTGGTGAGCTTAAGAGGTTCCCCCTGTTTCCAGTTTTGATGCTAAGCTTAGCGGCTGCTGGCTGTAGCTTCATATTTACATACAGAGAGATGTATCAATTTTGTCATGTAACGCTCAGCAAGGAAGTCAAAAGGCCTATTTCATAAAAAGGCCTTTAACAGATTTCTACACAAGAACGCTGTTGCTCTATATGTGTTTGCACTTTGGATTAGTTTGGAAATTTGGTGTGTTGGTGTACAGACAGACAATATTTAACTGTTACTGTAGGAGCAGGAACAATTACTAGCCAGAAAAACTCTTTAAAGATTAATCCATATAAGTGACTGAAAAATAACAAATATGTCCTTCATATGTGTGGAGATGAACACAATGCAACTGCCCCAAAGCAGAAGCACTATATCCACTTATTGAAAATGACACATATCACGTTGAGAGTAAGCCTCACATCTTCTGCTGCTTAACACTGGGCAAACTTATGTCAGGCTTCCATCATGAGATGATTTGTAATAGAACATCCTGTGTGCATGATACTGTCGAGTTTATGGTGGACCACTGGATCAGGATTAAGCTTTTTTTCTGTACAAATACATGTCTAGCTTCGCATTCTAAGCCAAACCATGACCACTGTCTCCTGCAACGGCCTGAATGAGCTGTTGGTATGAAAAAAAGTGGAAACCCCTGCCACCTTTAAAACAGTGTGGAAGAAATATGGAGAGGTCTGCAGGGAAATATAAAATGGCAAAGGGAACTGGGGCCAAACCCGCAAGCAACATGAACATTGCCATTCAAATCTGACAATGTAAGTTACTTCACTTCATATAACAAGAAATGAGTAAATGACGTTCAATAAAATGATCTTGGCACGGAGGCACATTTCATATGTGGCTCCTGCAATGCTGATTATTAAGACGTGAACATATTGCTAGATTTTCATGTGTTCTGTGTTGGTCTGTCTTTGATTGTCTGGAGGAGGTAGTGTCAGAATATATTTATTTTCCATCCTGATTTGTCAATTACTACTGTACAGTAGATGCTCTGGTTTCTCTAGTTTTCATATTTTTATGCCACCTAAATTATTTATATGCTTCTAGAAGCCTCTGTGGCTTTTCATTTGATCAATGATCAAAAACAGAACTGTTAATAGACCTCATTATCTATTTAGAGTTTTAATGTATTAGTTTCTTGTCAGATTGCACAGATTAAATGAGATATATTACAGTATGTAACTCTTTTCAGCAATGGGATTGGGTATGGT